TGATAAGAAACTTTCTCCGTCTGCAGCCTCATTTTAGGTGATTTAGATCATTCAGGTTGGTTCATTTCTACAGGGGAATCCTTTGCAAACAATTCCACCTTCACAAACATATATCTGCAAGTGAAACACATCTGTCTCCCCCTCTCGTGAACTCAACTAGGTTTGTGGTGTGATACCCTTTGGATTTCAACCCTTTCCTTTGATCCACAGTGTTCAGATCTGACTGTCAGCTGAGTCCTCTGACATCAGGTGCAAAACTCCACCAAACAAGGCAGAAGAGAAAACAACAGTCTCGTCTCATCTGTTTAGTCAAACACGTCCAGATTTGGGAACACGAGGAGAAACTGCTCTAAACAATCTGACAGAGAATCCCAGACAGCCGCTGCTGCATTATTCATCACAGCTGGGGAGGAAAACATGGCTCTTTTTATCTTTTTCAATCACAGTCATGTGTCAAAGCAACTATTGAAAAGGAGATTCATTTAAAGACAAGGTTTAATGCTGATGGAAGTTAGACATCCAAACTCAATTTACTTCAAAACCCCACCTGAACTAGTTGCCACTGATGTTGTGGTCAGAGAAAATGAACTGATGCAGTGAGAACAATGCCGGTTAGAAAGTTTGTACAAGCCTGATGCCATTTAAAGAGACTATTTGGATTTTTGATGACTGTCGTGTCCCGTCAAAGACACAACAATCACTTTGTATCAGCAGATATTTGTCAGCGACTGTCCCGGCAAACGTCCAGTATCTTATCAGTTAATTGGGTCTGTTACAAGTGACTTTGAAAAGTGATGTGTAATTTCAGAGATGGGATGAACTGTGAGGTGATGTCAGACGTAAATCACAAACATAATCCTATTTTTATGTCACGGTGCAAAATTGAATTGGAGTCTGATGCATTTTCAATTCAGGAGCATAATATATTATAAAAAGGAGGTGATGACATCAAACTGGAAATCTTCTTAGGAGTTCAACAAAGAGGGTCATGGGATGTCAGCACTTTATCCTTCATATAATCAGGATGTTTCTTTAGAGCCAATCTCTCTTTTGAAATGGATATTGCAGTATAGAAATTTGGTGTCACATGAAGAACATAAAGAAAATCATTTGTCATGTTTTCAGAAAACTTAATGCTGATATTGGCTCGTGCTATTGTGGATTTATATGTTTAGCAGTGATTTAAGCACTCAATATTTTTACCGTGGCTGTGAAAGCTCAACACACCACTTAAGAAAACACAAGCAAATGAAGAAAAGCTCCTCACTAATTTGACAACACCTGATTCACATAAAGATGTGTGATGCACAAACCAAAAACGGAACTGAAATACAACCCAAAAGAAATTTCTAGTAAAAACTGATCATATATTTTTTGAGCATTTTCTGGATCTGGTTTCATACAGATGGACTTTGACTATGACTTAGCTCTAACAGTCAGACTTGAGGTTGTTGTCTAAATGTATCTGTTGCACAAAGCTGTCTAGCTCCTGTCTTTCTTAAGAAGGACTTTAAATTCTGGGGAAATTAAAAACAAATAAACATGGCTGACCAAGGAAACTGCATCAAACTGCTTAGCTCCTTCACTCCAGCAGAAAATGTCAGTCCTCACAGACACATTTTCAATACAACACAAAAACCACCCCACAGCAATGCAGACCTGTAGCAGAGTGTGGTCTCTAAAGCGTCTCTCTGTTCTCAGTTCTTACTGTACAACTTAAGTTCAGGTGTCACTGACTGTTGCCACTGAAACAATCTTACATCTGAGACTTCCTGTGAGAAGTTCACTAATTTTTTAGATCAGTCTGACATTTTTTGTAGAACCTCTAAAGACACAATGTGTTGCGCTTTCTCTGCCACCATACATTTGATATTTGTCATTCCAGAGACATGAATCTCAAAGTCTCATGAGATTATAATCAGTCAATTAATCTCTATTTGTTCAGCAACTTCCATGTGGGTTAGCCCAATGGCTGAAATGCTGAAACCACCACAAAGGCCGGAGTGTGACAACCTGGACGACAAAACAGACTCTGGGGCTAAAGGGCAGGTTTATACACTGGGGAGCTGATGAGGGAATTGGGAGCAGGTGTGCAGGTGGGTGTGGAGCTCAAGTGATGATGGCTGAAGTTATAGGTCAGGCCCTGAGTCACCTCAAAACTCCTGTGGTTTAAGTCCTAAACAGTGTCACAGGGGAGTAAAAACAGTGTTAGTGTTTCCATGTTTCCATTTGATTTTTGAGCCTCATTGATCTTTATATCTGAATTGATTCGAAGAATAAACATGGTCAGGGAAATGAAGAGCTGATTCGGTGAATGCTTGTTTCTTATACTGTTTGAGGGAGAGTATCACATCATTCCAAGTCAAAAGGTCAGTGTCCATGTGAAGTTACATGTCATCAGTCGCTGTTAAAAATCTAAAATCATCAAACTTGTGACTTGAGTCCACTCCTGTGCATATAAGATAATAAAAAAAAATCTTAAATATAAAATGAAACAGTAAAACAGTAAAAGACTTATTTTGATGATACTCTTTACTTTTCTTACTGTAAAGAATTTCCATAAAAAGACCAAAAATTTATTAAATTAATTACTACTCTATGTACAGAATAAATATACACATGTGAACACACACTGTAGTTTACTAGGTGTCAGTCCTACGTACACTGTCATGCTGCTGTAAATACTGAAGTGGGCCCCAAATGTGTGTTGATCTACCGTTCAAAATAGTCCCTAACGAGTGAGCCATTTCCTCTTGTTTGAGTAATGTTTGCTAAAAACTACATTTAAAACAACTAAAGATCAGCAGCAGAGGTTTGTTTGTAATGAGGCGAGTATTCAGCCCGAGTGACACCAACATTGACTCAAACTTGACCTTCTGAAAACGTCACAGATTCGTCCTTGTCCGTCTTTGCTTCAGCACATCAACTGTACTCAGGTGTGACTTCTATTTCAGAGAGGTCCCAGCGTCCTTGCTGCAGACATTAAAGCAGAGTCCAGTGTTTAGAGAGTGTGTGTTGTATATGTGTGTGTGTGTGTGTGTCTCTTCAGGGCTGGTGTAAATTATTCAGCAGTGGTGGGTTTCTCTCAGGGCAAATGGAAGTAAAAGCAGAGCATCTTCTTCTTCCCTCCGCTGACCCACTCTGTGCCATCAGCAGCTCCCAGCGTGCAGTCGGGCCGCATTAATGATTCATCGTTAGAGCTGTGAAAGGTATACGGAGGCCTTCAGCTCTGTGCTTCTGCCTCTTTATCACTCCCTCTTTCCCTCTCTCCAACCATCAGACCCTCTCCCTCAGAGCCAGTAAACGCTTGGAGTTGTGCAGGAAAAGCCAACAGTTTTAAATGTACAGATTGAATTCTTCTCAAGTCTTTTTCTGTAGAGAGTAAAAGCTGAAAATGAGTCAAATAACCAAGAAAGTGAAAGATTGTGGTGTTTGTGTATTAGCTGGCAGCAACATCACACTCAAGAGGCTCCTGCACCTTAAATGCACATTTTATACACGTTTTTTAAAGGGCCAGTTCACCTAAATTACACCAAAAAGACATATTTTTCATTTAATATCAGTTGTCTTTTGCCATGTACATTGTAACAGTTGTTTCCAACCTAAATCTGGTCTGGTTCTCTGTATCAGTTCAGGAAAGACCAATGAACGCTGTTAAAACCAACTGTGAAACTGCCCAGAGCAGAGTGTTTGTCATTTTAACACAATGATTGCATCCACAATAATGAAATATACTAATAAAATATATGAGCGACACTTATCTTCTCAAGTTTTTCTCGTGTAGTTGTGAAGTTGGACAAAAGGCTGGTTTCAAAATTATATTCATCATTGTATTATTTCACAAGTTAAGCTTTAGTGTTGTCCCTTCAGTGTTGCCCCTCGTCTGTTAGTTGCAGTGGATAAAAGCATCTGCCAAATGAGTAGATGTAAATGTAAATGTAGATGTATAACCTACACATAGGTCGTTATTAAAGGGCTCCCATGTGTGGTTTAGTACGGTGGCCCTGAGAACTCAATGCACTGCAACTTCAGAAAACACATGCAAATACACGCTGCAAATTCAGTCCTATAACACAACAGAATTTGCAGTGTGCTTGTGTATTTACATGTGTTTCCCTAAGTTGCAATGTGTTAAACTCTCAGGGTCACCGTAGTCTAGGCAACAAAAGCGCTTTGAATTAAGATTAGGGAAAGATTGTGGTTTTGTTTAAATTTAAATTGTGTTTCATCACTGTGAACTTTTTCTGTATTGAAACGGACGACGATCTTTCCCTGACTTAACACCATGTGCTGTGAGAAACACAACCATAAACAGTTTAATAATGCTGCTGTCACTGCAAGTGGATGTTGTGCAGCAAGATCAGATATTCTGGGGGAAAACAAATATGTTGTCTGTGAATATTTCACGGCACGATGTGTTCAGTGTCAATGTGTTCATGACTTGCCAATTATGTAAATTTACAACATTTAAAATACAGTTTTTTTTCAGACCTTTTTATTACTGGTCTTTATCTTGCGTGACAAGCTGGGAAACATGAGTAAGGTGGCACATGTATGACCATGATGCAAGAGGATTTGACTTCTGGGAGGATACAATCTTCTTATTCACATTCACTGTGTGTCTGTCCCCCCTGACCCACTGTAATCCTGTGGTCCGCACTGTAATCCACACACACACACACACACACACACCACCACAACACACACACACACACACACACACACACACACACACACACACACACACACACACACACACACACACGTTCAGCATCCGTCTCTGCCAAGAACACAAACTCAGGTCTGATGAAAGAGCGTATAATCTATCACGGACCGATGAATATAAAACATGACCTAGCAGATGCAAACACACACAGGAGGAGGAAGTCTTGTAAATACACATTCATGTTTATTACCATTTATTATTTACATAAGACTATAGATCGTTAGACTTTTGACATAGACTTTTCATTTAAAACATTCATTTTTTTTTTTTTCCACAATCCCTTTTTCTTGTCAAAAGAAAAAGTAATTCATATCCAATAGTAACAACTATACAAAGACAGTCTGGTAGGTACAATAATTTACTTAAAAACTGTTTTTATTTTCGTCATTGCAAATCATGTGACAACAAAAAACGACAGCTCGAGAGTTCCCATCACAACATTTTTTCTTTTTCCCCCACGGCGGAGCTGAGTGATCACAAATGACTAGAGCTCAATATGTACATGCTAGTGTTCAAAAGGCATGCAAATATTTGACTGATATTTGTACAACTGCCTTCCAAATATGCATAAGGTTAAAGTTTGTTGTCGACCATCGTCTACTTGTTTACAGAGCCGAACATTCATCCCAACGTAAAAATAAATAAGGACATTAGCATCAGAAATGACATCATGTGTCTCTGCTTCAGACCCGATGAAGCAGAAGTTGTTTTATAGTTTGTTTGTGTGTTTGCTTGTTTGTTTGTTTGTTTGCTTGTGTTGTTCTTCCTCTCCTTGAAACTAAACAGACGAGTCAAGCTTCAGAGGCTGGCAACAGAAAAAAAAAAAAAAAATGAACGAATGCTCTTTTAAAAAAAAAATAGTTTGAGCATGAACTGATGCAGGACAACGTAAACCACATAGAAAAGAAAAGTAGAAACAGATGAGAAAAAAAATGGTGTAAACTTCAAACAAATGCAACAGCAGAACTACATTTACTAAAGTTACTAAAATATATATATATTTATATATATATATATATGTATGTATTAAATACATATATACACACATGTGGGGTGATGATTAACTCAAGTGTGTGCAGGCACCTCTTATGGAAATGTTTTTATGTCTCTTTTGATGAGATACAGTACATTCCAGGTTCTTCTACATAGAAGTTCTGGTTCCCCGATGGTCAGCTGGTGCTACTGGGTGGATCCCAACCCCCCCTCCCCTGTCAGGCTCTGTCTCTTAGGGAGTCTCTAGTTTTTTTGGGGGGGGAGGGGGTTTTCTGAGGTACTGGGTCTTTTTAGGCTGAGGTGGAAGAGGGCGAGAGGAGGTAGAGGACGGACTCATGCCGGCTCCTCGCCCTCCAGGATGGTCTTCCAGTGTCCCGGCGGCGGAAAGGTGAACCTCCTCTTCGAGCCCTCGCTCCACTTGGGGGAGGAGGAGGGAGAGCGGGCGGCCCAGCGCGAGGGGGGTCTGCGGTTGGCCGGGCGGGCGGGTCTCAGGAAGCAGGAGTCCAGGGGCGGAGCCACCGGAGAGCGAGGCAGGTCCTGCCAATGACAAGGAGCTGTCAGAGAGAGGGGAGGGCAGCGAGGCGCCTGCAGCCGGTCGGCACAGAGGGAAACCGACTTCAACAGAGAGACATGAATGACACAGTGAGAAAAGAGTGAGCAGGGGAAAAATGTATAAAATGAGGTGCACAAACAAAAAGGATGAATGATGAATGTTGAAGACAGAAAATAAAATTTAAAAAAAAAGAAGGATGCTCTGAGGTTAGGTGTAACTTCAGGTGCACGCAGACCTGAGTAAACTGATGAAATAAAGAAAATGAAAATGTTCAGGAGGGAATGTGACTGTAATTTTATTTTGAAACTCCTATTTTTTCTTCCATCATAGGAACATCAATCTCTATATGCCATATATCACACTGTTTGTTGCTTTTATTGGTGACATTATGGCCAGTTATTCTGCAGAGGAAGACAGTTCTTCTTCTTTGTCATGTGGTAAACCTTTAAAATGATGTCACCGACCTCTGAGGATTTATTTCACAACAAACTCAGTGCTGTTGACACAAACTCAGTGGTGGTAAATTTTGGAAAACAAAGAAGAGAGTTGCTACAGCTACAGTTGGTTGAAAAGTACAAAGTTTAGTAGAAGTCGGGGTTACATATAATTGATGCTTAAATTGGAGTAAGACCTAATACATGCCGGGAAAAATGTATTGAAATGTTGAAACAATGGTTAAATGGAATCATGACGTCTTCGGCTGAGTTTTCTTAACTTTCTTATCTTTTCCTCTTCAATTCACCAAGTGCTTATAAGGCTACGTCTCTTCAGATTGATTTGAGGCTACATTTAGTGGTGTATTGAGAAGTGTTGCTAATCACTGCATTATGAATTGGTTGCAAATTCTTATTAAAATGAGCTGAATTACAGTATCAACTAAGATGGGTCCTGTGCTGTAGAGGAGTCCCGTGCCACAATCTAGTTGAAATATTTTAGTTTAAATACACATTTTTTTTTTTTAAAGTGGTGTTTTGTCGACATGAATGCTGATGAAACAAAAAGTACAAATAAATCAACTTAAAACCGGAACAAAATCGACAAATGAAACTTGCAGCCTCCCATCAAACTGCCACATAACCCCCTTAACACAACACGCTGGTAACTGGTATTTCAACTTCTCGGCCTCGCATGAGCTCAGGCGAGCAGTGGGGTCAACTAAACAGGTGCAGGTGGTCAGTGGATACACAATTAACTTAATTCAAAATGTCTTTGTTTTCGCTGAAACTTAACCTACTCACACAAGAGCACTGACTTTAATAGACCTTTTATCACAGCAGGAAAAGCACAAGTGTAACTGACAACATTAAAAACAGCTGTGTTTGGGGGGGGGGGGGGGGTTCCCAGGATCCTGGTGTTGCACATGCTGCCTCACTGAGACACTTGATGGAGCCATCGTTAATGCTTTTTTTTTTCTTTATCCTGCTATGACAAGTACAAATGCCTGCAGTGAAAAAAAGATCTGCAGTCTGTCTCATGCTGCAGACAGGTTTCACTTTCCCCTGTACAACTTGTCAGCGCTTAATCACTTAGAGGACTGAATCACTCACACCTGTTTTCACTACCAGTGATTGACACAAGCTGCACCAACACCACAAGTACGTTGGGGACATAATCATAATGACCAGTTTCCAACTTGAAAATAGCATTCACATCAAAATAACAGTCATAATTACAACTTTTTTTTCTGAAACTGCTGATATATCTGTCTTGCCCCCATAAATCACATGGAAGCTCCTAAAAACCAAACATGGACATCACATGTCCGCCAAAGTCCATCGTTCAAGCTAATTTAAACCAGATCTAATGGATACAATCTTTAATGTAAACGAAAGGTATTTTTAACTCTTCAGTCGTACAACCATCTTTAGCTGTCTGATCACGCAGGTAGTAAATAAAAGGTTATCTTTCCATCTCTACCATCCATCCCACATGACTCACGACATCCGTGAAATGCAAAGGGAGCAGCCTTTTCACGACAGAATTCAGTCAAACACTTCCACAAACTGCAGCCTCACACATTACCATACAGCTGAATCAACACTTTTCTGTTAGTGTGCTCACAGCATCTACAGGTGTGTACAGACGCATACGTTTAATGCTGTTAGAGGACACAGCAACTGTCCCGCTTTACGTCTAAACATGGCTGCATACACATGTGTTTATGTATTATGCACGTGGGCACAATTTCATGATGACTGAGGTTTTTAACAGAATAATGCAAACGTAGGGGTTTATGAATCTGGTTCAACGCTGTGTGTGCATATTTCCGCTGTGGTACGTGCACAGATTAATGATGTTGAAACCAGAGAGAGCCTTACGCATTTGTCCCCTGGATGGAGACGAAAAAGTGTGGAAAAGAGATCAAGAAGAAGAGAGGAAAGTGTTTGTGGGTGAGTTTTTTCTTCCCCACTCAGAATGATGTCAGAGTGTGACTGGGTGAGCGATCACACCGGGACATCACACCACTGGCCTGATTTATAAATAGTTCATCTCCAGGCATTAGATTTCAGCTGAAGGATGGGGGACATTGAGCCCACAAAGCAACAATCTAGTTCTGCTAAAAATACACGGCAGTCAGGCTGCGGTGGCGTGAGAGGATGAGACGAAGGAAAAATAAGTCAGATGGATGGACGGCTGGATCCACCAGTGACTGGTGTGTTACACAACCTGCAGGAAGTTTCATGAACTGGCAGGAAAACAAGTCAGAGAGATGGATCGGAGGCGTCCGCGTCAAACAGACGTCTCCATCAATAAATCATAGTGTTCACACCGGAAATACAGTCGTCGTTTAATGGCCGGCTTGTGGGTTAATACAACATTTCCTATGTGATGCTAATACATCAAGTCACACAACACCACAGATCATGCACCAGTAATGTGTACAGGAAGTCAGTGTGCAGGAGAGTGGCTACTGAAAACAGCAACGTGAACAAATTCACATCAACCCTGACTTCTCTGTGGATGCTTGGCCTTAAAAGAAAAATCCACCTTAAAACACTTGGACTCCATTGTAAAAGGGGTTTCCTATTGTACTTTTGAAGTTTTACAGTACTCTGCAGTGGACTTTGTAAAATATTGGGCTCAATAAAAAAACATTGTTGAATAGGCTGAAACTCCTTAACTGTTTCTCCCTTGTCAATGATATCCACCCACAGCCTCTTCTTTACCTCTTCCAATACTTTTAATAATGTTCTTCAAAAAAGCAAAAGGGTACGGTGGCCCCGAGAGCTCAATGCTGCAACTTAGGAAAACATGCAAATAGATAAAGCACTAGCAAATTCAGAAAACATCATTTGACAGCATATGTGCTGCAAATACTCATAACACAAGCAAATACAGAAAGGAGCTGCAAGTAGCACAGACGACAACGGAAGTGTTTCCAGGAGACACATAAAAGTGTTGAACCCAGATGGGAGGCACTTATTGTTCAATGCTTTAAACTTCAAGTGTCAAAAAGTATTGAACAACAAGTTTGTTGCAGCTGGATTCAACACTTTTATGTGTCCTCTGTTGTTTGTGCTACTTGCAGCATGACTCTGTATTTGCTTGTATTATGAGTATTTGCAGCATGTGTTGTCAAATTGATGAAGATTTTTTCTGAATTTGCTTGTGCTTTGTCTATTTGCACGTGCTCTCTTAAGTTGCAGTGTGTTGAGCTCTCAGGGCCACCATAAGAAGGTGTTCTTAACCCCATATTTAGACTTAGAGTATCTCATCTGGCTCGGTCTGTCTACTTGATTGTGTTTAACTCATCTCAAACTTATGAGAATGAGAAAATGCCACAAGATATGGAATAAATAACAATGCTATATTGTTTTTTTAATTCCCACCCCTGTCTAGAGGAATGGATCGGACACCAATTTGCATAATTGTAATGTACTTCTGGAACAAACCCAGGGGTTCTGGTATTTTTGTAATCAACAAATATAAGCAAAAATTTCAGGAAGATTTTCTCACATTTTTTCAAAGGCATTTTGGGAAATATCAGAATCGGTAAGCAGGACCACCAGAAAACTAATTTCCAGCACTTTATCCCAAAATAGCTGCTGGTATGTATTTCACGGTGAGAAATTTAACAGCACAGAAGTGTATCCCAAGGTGGACTTTTCCTCTAAGCATGCAAAGTGTACCAGAATATTCAGTTAATCTCCACCAGAAATCACACATAAACGAGAGAGGTGAGAGTGCACAGGGAGTGATGAGTGTTAGCAGCCGTCTTCATCAGTTAATCTTTTGGGGGTAGGTCTGGTTAGTGTGAGAGATGGTGAGGGGGAAACTGTAAGAAGAGGAAAGAAAGTGCTGTATGGACAAATAAGTGAAATAAAACAAAGTAAAACATCACAGTCCATCCAGTCGCACACATGTTGACAAAAAGAGGAGGACCTGGTAGAAACACAATGTTAGAATAATCCAGATAAGGCCGTATGAAGCCCAAAAAGACAACGTCCTCCTGCGCTGAGGAATGTGTGAAACATCCAAAAGAGTTGTCTTTTTTTCTGTGAGTTTGCTTTAAAGGACCATACCAGTGGTTTCACAGGATCTATCCAATTAATGACAAATTGTATACACAAATTGAATGAAATCAAAGTAATGTTGCCATCACAACATCACAGATTAATCTTATCTAAAATCCATTTTTGTCATTTTAAGTACTCATTGGAAAACCCCACATTAAAGTCTTGCTAACAACAAATTCACATTATTTTGTCAAAATATTGATGTTTGCTTAATGTTGGTCTTTAAGGTTTGTCTCTAAGAACGGTCACTATTAGCGACCTACATTAGCATCAGCTCTAGGTAACACTTGCTAGCTAATGTCCATGTTATCTGTTTTCAACCACAGTAATTTAGTTAGCCTGAGAAGATAGCAAGCAAGGAAGTGGCTTAAGCTAACATTTGACAGTAAGTGGAGCTAAAGTTCACATTTGTCCAAATATTCTTTGTAAAATTGCTAATATTAGCTAACATTAGCTCACACTGACATTTTTAATGGGAATTATTTTTACAAACAAATGAGAGCTGAGAAAGTTCCATAAATGTAAAGAAAAAGTTGAAATATCGCAAAGGTTTTTACACTTGGCTTAGGTGGAAAAGTTGCAAGCAAATTCTGACGTACATAAAGCCTCTAACTGAAAATCCCCATCGAAGAGATTCAATTTTAATGTTCATTAGGTTATTACATAAAACAAACAAATATTTCTATTTTCCACATTGTTTTTGTTTGTCTGAGGTTTGACTTGTGCCCTTTTAATAACGTCATATTGATGCACCCTCTTCTGCTGCAATGATTTAATGGCACCTGATTGGAGAACCGGTGCCACCCAAGTCCTAATATACTCCTAATATTCATATAACATTAGTAGATGAAAAACATTAATTTGCATTTTCTTTTGTCGATTAGACAAAAGAGTTATCGAAACAGTTGCTGCCCTCAGCTGCGATGGACCTCACTGATACCAATAATAGCTTAATAAAAGTTCACTGTAATTTACCTATCTCATGCAAATCTGTTGGTGATTTTCATACCGTCCTGACAGGGATTTAATTTAAATCAAATTATCTAAAAATGCATGGTATGGTACTGGAACATAGTAGACATGATTTATGGTTCATGGACTAAAACATGCAAAAATACCAGTATGGTCCTTTAAAAAAACAGATGGTCTATGCATATCAAATAAACTGAGCATGCGCACATTAACACAACAAAACAGATGCATGACCATCCACAACTTTTGACACCACTCCGACGGCTTCACACACTGTCACTCTGCTGTCCTGTGAAGCATGCATTAATGAACAGGGTGAGGAGGAGGGGAGGTCTGCAGGGCGTGAGGTGAGAGGTCCGTGTGGTTGGTGAACCCACCGCCAAAGGTTGTAGAGGAAGAGGAGGAGGAAGAGGAGGAACTTACATCACGGAGACAAGCAGAGTTAGAGTCCCCAAGGAGTTGTTAGTATGACAGTGTGGTTCTGGATCAGAGCACAGCGGACAGGGAGGAGGAGGAGGAGGAGGGAGAGGTAAAGCCCAGAAGGGAAGAGAGAGGGGAGGAGGAGGAAGGAAGATAGAGCGGGAAATGTTAATCGGTAAAATCGGGCAAAGAAGAAGAGGAGATACACGATAAGTCTGGCATGTCAAAGGCAGAGAGGTTGACCAGGAGAAATGAGGCGGCTGATTTCAGCCTGCAGACCACACAGAGAGCAGTAAGCACACACACATTCACTTTAGACCTGGAAAAAACACCTTGGTATAGATACACACAGGCCGGTCAGGTGGTATTGGAGATCATCAAACATGCAGTATGAAAAGCCAAGTATATACCAAAACAGGGTTGGGCAATATGACAAGATACACTCATTTCTACTGAGGCAGCTATCGCTTATATTACTGGCTGTATTAAGCCATTGTGGGTAATGCTGCGACTCAATGTGCAGGACTGTTTTATACTACTAATATTATTTTCTTGAATATGATGAAGTACCTAGATTTAACAGGTATGTCATTCATCCTACGACTTAGTCAATTGATCGAATCGAAGACATGCTGCTTCTCTCTGTTTTATATGATTGTAAATGGAATAACTCCGGGTTTTGGATGGACAAAGGGCAAAAAAGAAAAAAACAAAAAACATTTAAAGGCGTCACTGTGAGCTCGAGGGAATAGTGAAGGACATTTTTCAAAATGTTCTGATGTTTTAGAGGGTAAACGATTTAAAGAATATCTCGGATTTGCATTAGTAAAAAAAATAAATATCAGAATTGATGCAGCAGAACCAGAGATGTCACATTTTTCTTCCTTGTCAAAATTGATCACCGACAGTTCGGTCAGAGATTCATGTGTTATGGTGGCGGCTAAGGTAGCCTTGAGCAGCTAGCCCTAAGCAGAGACGAGGAGTTCCCTCTGGAGCCACAAAGGGCTTTGTACAAGTCTTTTACATATGCAATAGTACTTCCCAAGACCTGTAAATAGACATGATGTGTAAGATTAATGCAACATAATCGTAGATAATTGCTAGTTGCAGGCCTAGTTCAACAGATTAGCTAAAAACAAACATACATATTACCATTTACCTGTAAATGGTCTCTCAATTGGACTTCAAGTACGTTTACTGTATCATGATACATATTGCAATATTAAATGACATAGATCATCATACAAGGTTTAAGTCATATTGCCCATCCCTAAACCAAACTTATTTTTTAATTTTCTTACCAATTGTGAATTTAAATGTTTTGTTGGGGATCTTTTATGATATTCCCCCTTTCCTCAAACATTTTTTTTCTGTGTGTATCCATCCATTCAAAGCACAAAAAGCAAGAGTAAAATGATCCAAATACAGGTCTATATTACAATACTGACATGTTGCGTGCTGAACTACCATCGCAATCCATTATTCTGCTCTGTTTGAGCTCTGACAATTGTCCACAGAAGTCACGGCATCGCTCGATGAATGAGTGAAGGAAACACACACTCCACCATCATCCATTAAAAACAAAAATCTTACTAATCTTATTCTGTCTGTTCTGCAGATCAGTGAACAGCAGCTGGTGAAACCTTGATGTTAATGGGCATATTAATCAGCACATGTTGGATCATGTTGCTTACTGCACATATAATGGTTTTAAATATACAGTCTGTCTGCGGTACATTGTTCTAATGTACGGCTTTAGTACAGCATGACATACTTTTCTGGAGTTTTAATCTTTCTATGGACGGCCAAAAAAAAAAAGGCGTGCCAGTACATACAGTACGCTGATTCATTTTCCTTTCTGTTTTCCTTTCTCTCATCATTTAAACATGACCAGAAAGATGGTTGGATGGATCTATCATTTATTTGTCCCACAGGTCAGCTGAATGAGTGGTCAGAAATGGCCCGACCGATGTGCCAGAGCGCTGATTTCATCAAGTAAAATGAGCGCTTTTCTTGGTTTAGTTTGGCAAAGGGAAGATCAGGTTGCTTCAAAAATGAGGTCCCACTTAAAATTCTGATTGAGCAATGAAATAGAGGGAGCTGATAATGATTAAATATGCAACTTTGCGACTATAATTCCACTTCGATCATTACTGTGAGATCATTAATTTCACTGCTGCAGCTATATTCATGAATGATGATTCGGTCGGGCCTGAGTGATAATTAACGCACAGAAATAAAAGCCAAACGACAAGGAGGTCACTACAGCGAAGAGGAAAATACAGAAGAAGAAGTAGAAGTAGAAGAAGAAGAAGAAGAAGAACCCTTTAAGAGTCTATATGCAGAGCTGAAGGAAAGTTCAGTATTACTGAGGAGGGTTAAATATTTTAACATTACCATTGCATCAGTCAGTGCTTTCGATCTGAGAAAAAAGCATGAACATTTTAGTGATCTTGCACAATATAATGCAGCTGATTTTTTTGCTTAGCTTTTTTTTTTCTGATCAATCAAACATCCTTTAAAGTTTGTCGTCAACCATTACAAGGGAGATCCGAGGCAAAGTCATAAATATCTTTGCGTCATAAAACATGGGCCCCAGATCAAATGAATGATGAAGCGATGAATCCAGTGCGTCTGCATATTTACCTCCATACATCCAGACTGTCCTCTGTCTGAGTCGGCCTGCCTGCTGCTGTCTCTGCTGTGGCTGCTCTGTCCTCCAGCCTGCAGCCTCCTCTCCTCCCTAAAGTTCTGCTCCTGCAGCTTCTTATTGAGGATGCGGGCTGCGTTCTCAGCCAGCGTGTAGCCTGGCGGGGCCGACAGGTCCTGCCGTATGCTCACCACCTCTGGATTTTTGTCCCCCTGCGTCTCCACTATCAGCTGCACGGGGCTGGGCGAGCGCCCTCGAGCAGTCCGCAAACACTCTTGCACATTTCTGGGGTCCGTGGCGAGAGCCCCGTGAGCAGGGCTGGGCTCAGTGGTGGAGGGCGGGGTGGGGCGAGAGCGACTGGGGGACTTGTTGAACTTCTGCATGGAGTCGTAGACCACAGGGGTGTGGTCGATGATATTGAAGAGGCTGGAGAGGCCGTCGTTGATGGTGGTGTGGACGGGGCTGTCGCGAGTGGTGGTGGAGCGGGCCCATGCCGACTCACTGTTGCCCTTCTGGGGTGTGGTGGGGGTGGGGGCGCGGCTGGTATTGGGTAGATCAGTCTTGCTGGACGTGGACAGTTTGCGCTGAAGTTTGGGTGAGCCGTACTTTGGTGAGCAGCAGGGGCGTTCAAACTTGCTCTGGACCACAGGAGAGTACTGAACCTTCCTCAGGCTGCGTGACGGCGAGGAGATGGGCGTGCTGCCACCTTTCGGGGTGAGGCAGCGGTGGGGGCTGCTGGTCAGGTTCCTCAGCAAATCCGTCTGTAGACCCACACTGATGGTCTGGGTGGTCTGAGTGCCTCGCGTGGTGAATCCGTTGGTCTGGCAGGCTGTGTCCCGGACAACAGGCACTGGTGGAGAGCGGATGGCGTTTCTCACAGAGATGGCCACCTCCTTCATGTCATCGCTCATGTTTCTGGCGAGCTGAAGCTCCAGTGAGGAGGCGTAGCCTACCGTGGGGCAGACAGGAGATTGACTAGGAGAAGTCCTCAGCCCACCACCCTCCAGAAGCCCACATGGCCACCTCCCACTGCCAAACACCTCATCTGGCCCGCCAGCTCCCACCCCTGCCTCTCCTCCGCCCCTAGCTTTGGTCCCCTTGGCGTACAGGAAGTCTGGGTCTTGGGCAGTAGGGCGCTCAGCTGCCCCAGATCTGGTAGGGCTGTGGAGGATGTGCACCCCATAGTGCTCCACTCCCACCCCTGTCGCCCCTGCTCCGTTGCCCCTCACCGGGGACTTGTGGCAGTGCTCAGGGCTGCTCAGGGTGCTGGTGGTCAACGTGGCGCTGGTGGTGAGGAACCAGGAGGCTGGCTGGAATGGATCAGGAACGGGCTCCCCTCCCCGGGCCTCGGAGGTTTTTTCTGTCCACACATCCCGGGCAGGACCCGGGCCAGAGGTGGATGATGGGAAGTCCCAGCCCTTGTTGTTGAACTCCTCAATGTACTTAAGGTCGTCTGGCGACAGAGGAGGAGTGACGTCGTCTTGGCCCTGATCCCCGTGGCGAGTTTTGTCAGGGAGGAACGGCGAGCTGTCCATTAGCCTCTGGAAGTCACTCATGGAGCACACGGACTTGGCTCTGGAGAGAACACACACACACACACACACACACACACACAACAACAGACATTACAACCCAGTCATGATCTCATCCCCTTTATATTCCCACTGCAGACAGAAAGCATCTCTATATTTTTTTGTAAAGCAACTCATTGCCTTTTAATGTTTTAAAAGTGTCTGAATTATTTAGCAGCATAGTGAGCCGGATCACTTCCTCTCCATAAGAGAAACTTTCACAGAAAAATCACCTGGGGGAAACTCACTGTCACTTCAAGTAACAGTTAATAGAATCAACAGACGATTTCCCAAGGGATCGATGTGAATGCATGAGCAGCAAAAATGCAGCAGGAGGCTGGATAATATGTTTATGCCTGGCATCTATTTCAATGCAGCAACTTTTACAGAATTTCAAATTTAGAGTTTGCCCGTGGACAGACTATTTGAACTGAGTTTGACTTGAAGCTTTTTCACACAGGTTACCTGAGCAGACTCCCTCCGCCCATCTCCTCCTCTGGGTACGCAGGATCAGCTTCTCTCTCCGAAATCTCATTCAGGGCCTGAAACAACAGATACAACAGTTTAATCATGTGGAAAAGGATTCAGGGTAAAATTATTTATGTGCAGCAGCTTCTGGAAAAAAAAAAAATTACTATCTTTTTTCTAAAATGAATGGCTGTAATTTGGAAACTGGGAGACCTATTAACACTAAATTAAAACAAAATATATTAGATTACATAATAGCTTTTTGGCACACCACAATTTATGCTAAATATCCTACGTCTTCTTTTGGATGTTTGGATGGCAAATATATTTCCGATTGACTTTTGTGCCTCAGTTTTTAATATTCTTTAAATAAAACGTACTTCTTGTACAAAGCTTCTGCTAAATGTTTCAGGAAGATTGTTTGTTACCTCAATTTATTTTGCTAAATTCAGACTAATAAAAAACCAGACGAGAGGAAATAAACCCGTTGTATAATGAATATACAATTAGTGATGAAGATACTTCTCTCAGCTGAAATTGAAACATGGTGTAAGGCGTCTGTTCCAAAGTGAACACGTTTAAATTAAAATTTACATTTAGATGAATTTCCATTAAGAAGACGCGTTTCCACCTGAGCACCTACAGTAATAGCTCGTTTTTCCCCACAGTCAAAGTAAGTGGACACAAAAAAACCTGATCAAGCTTTTTTTGGAGAAATGCTATTGATATTTAATGCCTCCTTGGAGTTGCACAGTCCTTCAGTTACAATACCTCAGGCTGAGAAGGAAAGACAGAGGCTGACAGGCTGTGAGTCCTAACTCTCTCACTTCAAGCCCAGTTTTGACAGACACAGTAGTGTCAGTGTAGGTTAGGGTCTTTATTAATTAGACTTTGATCGTGTCCGAGATGTTCTTTTGTTCATTCATCATCATTTCGTTGAGTGGTTTGAACCAGGGCTGCAACTAATGAAACTGTCATTAGTTATTGACTAATCAAGATGAATCCATCCATCACTTTGTCTGTAAAATGTCACAAAATGATGAAAAACTTCCATTACTTCGATTACATAACGGTCACCGAGCAACACAAGTGACATAGTTCTTTTTATCTGCCCAAAACCCAAACATATTAAGTTTATTTTCATGTATGATAAAGAAAAGCATCACATTCAAATTGTTCACATTTTCTCTCAAACAAGACTGAGAGCCTAAAGCTGAGCTAGTGGCTCTGTGAGGCTGTACTTAGCTTTGAGCTAAATTCTGTGTTTAGGAGGTTTAATATTTACCATGTTCGCCACCTTAAAGTTTTAGCATGCATTAGCAACATATGCTAATTAGCGCTGAACACAAAGTACAGCTGCAGGTATTCGGTCATAAACCATCTGGACGTATCAAAATTTTGACCTCGGATAAAAATTTCAGGGATGACAGAAAATGACTAAAATTCATCCTGAGGGGGACGTCGATGTGTGTGCCAAATTTCATTGGCCTCCATCCAATAGTTGTCAAGATATTTCACTCAAATCCAAAAATTCTGCCCTCTGGATTCATCCTCTGGGAACCATGAATGTCTGTACAATGATTTTATGGCAATCCATCTAATAGTTGTTGAGAATTTTCAGTCTGGATCAAAGTGATGGATCGATCAATGATGTCATTCACTGACCTGTCATTTCAGCTCTAGTTCAAACCATGCTCTTACCTAAATGTTCAGAGCTCCGCCTCTTTTTCCCTGCTGTGCATCATACTGTTGCACAGCAGCATCTTGGTGGAGACTGGTTTTATATGCTAAAGCACTGCATTAATGAGAGTGACTTGTCTTGTCCTGAATGATGTGTGTTACCTCCTTCATGCAGGGGAACCTCTTCTCACTCTCCAGTCTGGAGGGTGGGGGGACCTCTAGGCCGCTGAGCGGGTCCAGAGTCAACGCATCCAGGAACAGGTTCTCCGTCGGACCTTTCAGCCTCATGGCAGCCCCCTGCACCTCCAGCATGGCCTCAGAGTCAGAGTGGGAGCGAGTGGGAGGAACCAGGACAGGGGTGGAGGAACAGGGGGAACGTGGGGAGCGAGGAGACCGGGGGGCATTGCAGGGACTGTCCTGAGGAGAGAACACGCCTCTGTGGCCCGAGCTGCCGTCTTTGACGTCGATGCCCTCGCCTCGCCGGGAGTTCAGCTCTCTCTGCATCTGCACGAAGAATAGCACAGAAGTGATCAGTCAGAGAATTTACTGGTGTTGATCAGTGGATGAAATCGCCACAGACTGGGGTTTAGAAACACTGCAGTAATGGGTGTGTTGTAATTAGGGCAACATTTCAAACATAGCCGACACAATGCAGGTAAAAGATCTTTTATGTGGACTGTTGCCTCTGAGGAAAGAGGTTAAAAACAGAAAAATGTATCTTTCTTTACATCTAAATAATTATGGCAGATATTCTGTGCTTATTCTATTAACTGTCTATGTTACAGGTGTAATCAGAATTCAGAAAATGTATATGCTGGTCTCATTTATTACTTTTTAGTCAAGAGAGAGCGTGCGTGTGTGTGTGTGTGTGTGTGTGTGTGTGTGTGTGTGTGTGTGTGTGGGTGGCGATGCTGGACCGTCCACCACTTTGGTCTAGTCTGAAATGTTGCAAAAACAACTATCGGATGGATTGATATGAAATGTGGTTCAGACATTCATGTGCCTTTCAGGTTGAAGTTCTCGTCTGGCGTCACCATCAAGTCAAATCTTCAGTTTGTCAAATACTTTGTTTTATAAACTAATGACAACCCAATCAACCTCAGCTTTATGTAGTGTTTAGTGCTAATCAGTAAATGTTAGCATGCTACATCTAACTAAGTTGGTGAACATGGTATACATATACCTGCTAAATATCAGCATGTCACTGTGAGCTTGTTAGCAAACTTATGTTAGCATTTAACTCAAGGCATGGCTGTAGACAGTTCAATGAGGCTTTGATGGTTGAATAAGGGTTAAATTAAAACCTAAATAAAATCACGAGCACCTGTCTTATCACTGGGGATTGACAAGTTTACACATTTATTTATTTTTTTAAGGATTAAATCATAATTTAGCATGTTTTAGCTCAATACGGTGTATCATGTGCAAATGTGTTCACTCAAGGCGGTAAATAAATCTTAAAACCTTTGCTTTTTGTGACTTAATGTTAGTTAAAACACCAAAACCTGACTGATACTGGATTATTGAGGTTGATACCAATATTGAGAGTTTTAAAAAAAAAAGTCAGATTCTGAAGTGGACAAACTGCACTGTTTGTATATGACCTCCAACATATCTTTTTCATCTCTATACTACATTTTTTTGTGAACTTATTCGTCGACATATACACCAGTTTTCAATAAGCTAATATCATCTGCTAACCGGCCTGGGCGATTTACAGTATATTACAGTATATTTCAATTAAGCAGTGGCAGGTTTATGCCAAATATGCTACACGTCGCTTTCCTGGATTTAAAGTGACACACAAACTGTATTTGTGCGTTTTCCTCAACACTCAGCAACCAACCTGCAATATTCAGGGTTAAGCTTCTTGCTAAGGTTAAAGGAGTAAAGCCACATTACTCATTCACTTTCACCCTGACAGTGTGAGCGGCTCGGCTGGTGACCTGTGCTTTGTAGTTTGCTGCAACATTGCTGAATAATGCATCTCTGCTTCCTGCTGTGTGTGAATCCATTCAGCTGTGCATCAGCAGTTTTTTTTTTTTCTTTTCTGAGCTGGTAAACGTGAGTTGTGTTCAGAGAGAGTCCCTGCTTTATATATTAATACTCTCACACTCATATCATATTAACCAGTGCATGTTCCCACTTCCTGCCCTGAACATCAGACACAAACGAGGTGAGATGCTGCAGTTCGTGTAATTAAATCTCACAAAGGACATCAATTATTCACTAATCCTCAGAGTCTATTGTATCTCGCCTTCACTATTCTAAAAAACCAAACAACAGAGAAGATAATCGCCTTGGGTCACTGTTTCTCTCTCACATCTAAAAACACTGCACACACAAATGCCTTCAAAATTACAATAAAATAAAATGAAACAAATTGGAGGTAAAAAAAAACAAAACAAAACTGTCTGAGAGCTTAAGGAGATATCTTTAAATTATCATTTATTATCATATTAAAGTTTTGTCTCATCAACAATCACAATGACATTAAACTAAAAAATGACAATCTTGTGCTGAAATGATGAATCAATTCATTAACTGTTAGAAAAGTGATTTGATAATCAATTAAAATTTTTTCGAGTCTTATCAAGCAAAAAAGCCAAACACCAGATTTTCTGCTTTTTCTGTTCTGTGTGATTGTAAAATAAAAATCTTCGGGTTACAGATGAAGTCACCATGGGCTCTGAGAAATTGTGATGGGCAGTTTTTATACTGTCTCCTTACATATTAAAGACTCAACAATTAATTTATTAATAGAAATTATATAATTGACAGATTATTGGCAATGAAAATAATTAATAGCTGCAGCTCTAAGCAAAAAGTAATCGATTATCAACAGTTTTTGTGACTGAAAGTTTGCTCTTGACCCTCGAAACAGCAGTAGACTAAACAGTCTCATCACAAGATCCATTGAGTAGCTGCTCCACAGCTTTTGATCGTGTTACACGTTTTAATCCTCCTCACTAAGTGGAGTTTTGTGGTTGGTGTAGAATTGTCAATGCTCAGATTTACATTTGTCTGATCACTCTCAGGACTTCTCGTCCACATCGGCTCTAAAGTTGAGACTGAAAGCTTGTTTTTGATCTTGGAAACAGATGTGTGAAACGGTTGAGAGCTCCAGAACAGCTACTCAATGGCCCTTGTGTTGAGATTGTTTCGTCAGCTTCTGTTTCCAAGACTAGGTACGACATTTCAACCTTTTAAACCAACATGAATGAGACGTCATTAAAGTGCTTGGAAAAATGGAAATCTGAACTTCTGCAAAATTTCCAAATTAACCCTTTTTTCTCCGTCTCTCTCTTTGTCATCATCCTTCCCTTACCCTCTCCATCTTGCGGTGGAGCTCTCTCATGCTGCCGTCCCACTCCTGCCGCTCCTGGTCGAAGCGCTCCAAGAGCTCTGCCCTCTCGCGGCTCCACCTCTTCTCCCCGTGCTGCAGCTTCCAGCGGAGGTCCAAGGAGGTGCTGTGGCTCTCGGACAGCAGACGCCTGTGCTCCTCACGCTCCAGCTTCAAGGCCCACTCGGGGTCTCCGGCAGGTTCCCCTTCGCCTCCCTGTGCTTCACCTCGCACCTTGCTTCCTGCCTCCTCCTCCAACTGGACACAGAGCAAAGACACAGGGATGTTGAGTTGATTACACGTTATTGACCCCTACAGTATATTACAAAGAGATAGTGAATATATAATGAATAAAACGTAAAAAGTAAGTAAAAAAAAAAAAGATGACAGTAAAGAGATTGCTCCTAACGTTTTTTTTTTTTTGCAGATGATAAAAAAGAGCCTCTAACAAACTCGTTTTGATCCATTTCTGTCTCCTCCACCCATGGATCAATATGTTTTTAAAGTGATGATCAAAGTAATGCGTCTCTTCACAAAGAGCAGTGGATGTATACTGTGTATGATCTTTTTCTCCTCTAGTTTGATCCTCATTTTTTTGAACTTCTAGTCTTTATTTTGATCTTGGAGTTCAATAAAAGAGAATAATGATAAAAAAATAAATAAAAAATGAATACAAAAGTTAAACCAAGTGCTCACACACCCACAAGAAATAAATATCAAAACAGGCTCCAGCTATGACTTAAAAGACTAGAGCGAATAGCTGGTTACATGCAACCTCCTCACTCTGCACATTATTAAGAGCAAACAGTCACAGTTTGATAGTTTATTCAAAACGAATCAATCAGTGTCTGTCTGTGACATTAGGAGTTTTGGATGAGCAAACAAACAACCAAACACATTTATAGAAGATTAATCCCCAGCAGCATTTTGTTGGGGGGGGGGGGCAAGAGAATTACATGTGTCAATCAATAATAAAGCAGGCTGCCGGTGAGTCAGGTTTTACAAACTCATGTTGTTTGTCTACACTTTGTTTAAACCCACAGAACTTTATTTCTAAATCTAGATGAAATCCAAAAGTCCCCAAAGACACCGTATCTGTCGGGTTGAATTTTGGGGGAACTGTGTCTTGAATGATGCATGAGGCATATATTAGTATTTCATTCAGTTTCACTCGTCATTTTGGTTTAATGAAGAGATGGCACAAGATTAGACGGAATGTATATGAGTTACTGCCTGAGAGACATAAACGTGGAATAAGATGATTTTTGTACATTTTATCCTATTAAAAACAAATTGTGTACATCGTGCTCCACTGAAATATAATCATTTGCTTTCCTTCCAAGAGTTTGCCACTGTCGTACCTGTGCATTCACCATGAAGCCGGAGCCAGGAGGCAGTTAGCTTAGCTTAGCATAAAGACTGGAAACAAGAGGAAACAGCTAGCCTGGCTCAATCCAAAGGTGACCTCTGAAGCTCACTAGCTCGTAGCTGTTCTTTCATTTTTACATTTCAGTTTTTGTTCAGATGAAACAAACAAGTCACAGTGTGTAAATCAGTGAGGGTTAGAGGTGCTGGACAGAGCCGGGGTAGCTGTTTCCCCACTGTTTCCAGTACTTCTGTCAAGCTAAGCTAAAGTGCTGCTAGGTCATTTATTGTTCATATTTATCCTGCAGACCCGACAGTTCTCTCATCTAACTCTATGCAACTTTCTTAATTTGCACGAGGGAAACGTGCAGGGAAAAGACATGATGACGATAAGGGGTTAAAACCATTTCAACTCAAGCCATACAGCACAAAGAGAACAAGCAGAAATGCTAATGTACACTAAGAAACACAGCATGAAACAATGTGAGATGAGGAGAAGCTATCACTAAGTACTGCTGGTTGTCTTGCAGAGACGCACAGTAATAACTTGAGCGGGGGCCGCCCTCAAAAATGTATATTTCAAACTGAGCGCTGGCGGGGGGACACGAACCGAGGATTCAGAAGTGCTGCAGAAATCTTCAAAGCTGCAGATCGACAAGAGGGAAGCCACTCTGGATGCGTCTCTTTTCCAGGCAGAACAGGCCATTGTAATCTTCAGACGGGGCTTTTCATCCCACAACATAACATGGAGCAAACCAGAGTCTGCAGAACAGAAGCTGTGTGAAGAGCAAGTCAAGGCTGCCTTCAAACATCAGCTTACACAACTCCCATTCACAAATGTTTGTTTTGTCTTCTATTATCTCGGGTTTTAAAAAACTGTGTGATTACACACGGGAGAGGGTGACATGCACATTAACAGCAGCTGACTGAATGTTGAGAGCCAAGATGTGAGACATTATAAATATAGGCGGTTATTTAGGAGCGTGAAACATGAGGCGGCCTGAGCAACGATATTAACGTCTGGTAATAGTGATTAAAAGAAAACAATCACTACTTATATCCAAACATAAATAACTAGATGAGGTGCAATTCCCAATTCTGCTCTGCTCTGCTGAGCTGTGTAAACAGAAAATTTGGAGCATATTTCTGAAATCGAAGCACAGTGGAACAAGGGAAGAAGTCAGTGTGGTTTTATCAGAAGAAACTAAGTAAATTAGTTCTCATTGAGGCCCTGAACGACCTTTGCTCCGTGGACGGATATGAACCATGTAAGAGCTCGTCAGATTAAAAGCATGAGAGATAAAGAGATAATCTTCCTCCTATAATTCAGACCTCTTAATTGGTTCCCAAAGCTGCAGTTTCCTTTTATATCAGATGAAGCGGAGAGGAGACACTGCTCTGACCCAGCAGTCAAGAAACAACATATTCACTGTCCTCAGACTGATCCCGATCCTTCTCTACCACAAAACACACTCTGTATCAATACCCCTCCATGAAACACTAATACGCACTTCGTCCACTACCAATATACACTCAGTTGCGAGTTTATTAAGCACACCTTCATAAAAACCAATGTGGTGTAATACATCAGTCCTGCAACAATTCCTCCCTCATGAAAGTCATAGTTTATTTTTAGTTGAAACTGTTTCAGAGAGATGTGAATTCAGCTTTATGGCTTTATTCTGGAGGATGTAGTTTGCAGTGCTGTTGAGTTATATTGCATTACACTGAGAAGTGTTTCTAATATTTTGTCCACCCCGCTTATATCAATGAGGATAGGCTAAATATAACACCTCTCACTATACTGCCTTTGCTGGGATATCAATAATAACTGAGTGCGATAATGAATAAACGACCAAAATGATATAGACCTGCAATGACGTTTACATTTAAAGCCAATATGTTCAGATTTTGCAAAATTTCCCCCAAAACAGACACTGATGCCACTAACGGCCGCCATGACCCACCCACGGAAGTTTTCTGTGGACTCTGAAAGCAGCACATCAGCTGAACTGACTTTCACTGGGATTGACTCATTTTTTTTCTGCACACAAAAACTTCAGCTATCAGCATAATTATAAAGATGCTATAATGACATAAAAATAAAACATAAAAACATAAAGTGGCTTCAATAATATTCTCAGAGATTGATTTCCCTCATATCTCAGAGTTTCTTCTACCGCTGAATGAATGAACTACGTTTCCCTTCCTTTAAGAGACGCGTGCAGACAGACACTGTGTAAAAATGTATGAGTATCATTTATTCATATCAACTAGACTGTTGTGTTGCCACATAGCAGCTGTGCTGTCACATCGGGCTCCTGAAAAAGAAAAACACAAAACCAAAACAATGCCGGGTCGTCTAGTGAAGTGAAGAACCAGACTTAACCTTCGCAGCGTCATCCTCCAAGCGCACATTCCTGGTAGATTACTTTGTGACATGATCAGGGTTATCCACCTGTCTACCCTGCAGCTGAGGACGGAACAATTATCACTGGGTTAACTCTCCCATGTTGCAAAATCCTATTATAAACCTTCAAACTCGTGTATCTATTACTCAAACTGGCCTTTCTGGACTGTACGTCATCAGCTCAGCCCCTTGTGTTTTTTGTGTGTGTGTGTGTGTGTGCTGGTTTTGGTGTTCTGTGTGTCCATGTGTAGTTTTAGTGCTCCATTTTGAATTTGAATCTTTGAGATTTTTACCTTTTATTGTAAATGTAAATTAGAATATTTTTGATAATGACAAAAGCAGCTACAAACAGCCTCTGTTTGGAGGAATATAAGACAGCGCTTTAACTGCAGTCTTCGGTACAGTAAGAAATGCTTATGCTGAATGAATTTGTTTTCACAATGACAGAATATGCCCACTATAAAGTGCCAGGAGAGTGAGTCATTGTTATTTTCTTGGATGCCGTCCTTTCAATTTAATGGTTGAGGGTGATTATGAATTGAATTCTGTCCATTTGTCTGACACAACTTCGAGCTGTTATTCATCTTGTTATTACATTTTTAAAATGACACTGATTGGCCCGAGGAGGGCTTTGTTATTTTTGCCCTAAGTGGGATTTCATCCGTGGAGGAGGCAATGTGTTTACTGTCGTCTTGCTGCTTAGTTTCCGACACCAGATTGTGTCCCTGTCCCTTTAAAGGTGGGCGCTGAGACGCCATCTGTACCTGTGCAACCTGGCACTTCATCTCTGCCCACTTGACCTCCCAGGCGGCTTTGTCATTGGCGTAAGACTGCTGCAGTTGCCATCGCCGCGTCTCCTCCTCTCGCAGCTCCTCTCGAAACTCCTCCAGCAGCGTCCGCAGGGCCTGCAGCACCCGACTGTTCTCCCCGAACTGCACGGAGAGGATTCACATAAAGCAATCAGCAAACACACACGTCGGAAAGGTCAATCAACACACTTAAGACACACAGCAAGTTCTTTTCTTATCCTGATATTTGTGATGAGCTTGTCTTTAGTTTTTATCTGTGTCCTTTGTTTCTCTTTAAAGCACTCTGGGATGAACCTGCTTTGTAAGTGCTTTATAAATCAATTTGACTTGAACTTCCTGTCTCCCATCTGCCTCCCGCTCTGCTTGTCCTTTCCCATCTATCGCATCTCAGCTCCGGGCGTTGAAGAAAATATACACACAGTAAACATCTTTGTGATGCTGCAAGAAAAACCTGCAGGACAACTATAATTGTGATTTATTTTAATCCAATTATGATGCAGGCGGTTCAAGAAAGTTTAAACAATTACACCTATGATCTGGATTTGGATTCATAAGGCTGGAGGCCGTATGAGCAGTGCCATGCAGTGGGTCAGAGAGAAAAGAACAGCATGTTTCCCCTGAAGTGTGTGCTCAGAGAGGTGTGTGGAGGGCTGCTCGCCTCTGGTGGCCCTGCTGTGAGGAGTCTTCAGGTTTTGGCAGGAGGCAGTGAAGCACAAAGGAGTCTGAGAGTAAAACATCACCTCGAGGTATCACTACAGAGCTGCCGGCTCCGAGCTGGCAGCCTCAGCTGAGAACACAATATGAGCTCAGCAGCTAAAAGGCCAGAGCACGTCAGTCCAGTATTTCCAGGAAAGAAGGTCGAACTTACAAGGTATATATATATCTTTTATTTTTTTTATTTTTTTTCCAACAAGCGCAACAAGGGGAGATACGACTACAAAACCCGGTACCTTATTATTCTTTTATAGTTCTACTGTTGTGTGTCTGAATAAACACAATATGACCCTCAGGACATCAGACTTTTACATTTCATAGATTCTCTGCTGAAAATATTTTGAAAAAAAAAAAAAAAAAGATCTAAAAAAAACAAAACAAGATGGAGGCTCCCTTTTAAAAGGAATACACTGAGCAGTAATGTAGCTTGGTAGCTAGCTAGCTTACAGCTCTGTTTACATTCGGTGTTTCTCAGCAACAAACATGATGAATGTCTTTCCTTTCTCCTAAAACAAAGGCAAAGGCAGGATTTTGAATATTCTGAAAACTGTATTGTTTACATCCAAGCCTTATAGTAAATATACCTTATACTATAAGGTAATATATGTGTCACAACATACCATAAATTAAGCATTGTGGTGTTACAGAGATGCCCTGGCCTATAAACCATATTCTCCAGATGTAAGGGAACATGCTTGTTATGTACAGGCCTCAGCAAATTTTTATATTTCTTTCACTCAAACTGAGAAAAATGACCATTCCCACTGAAATCCTGACTCTCAAAATAATCACAATATATATATATTGCTTATCGCTCAGCCCTAATTTCTACGTTTCTCATGTCTAAGGAACATAACTGTTAAACTGTCGACAGAAGTGTTTGATCTGGTCCCAGCAGCGCTCATGTAAGTGGACGTGCGTCCTCATGCAGGTGCCAGTAGCGTAAAAGACACACAGATACCAGGGACCCGCTCATCAAAACATTGCTTGATAGCACCAGCATTGGTCAAAAACACAGGGTACCTTTGATTTAAAGTTGAAGTAGAAACATCACACTCAATCAAAGACAAAAAAAAAGGGGGAAGGTGGTGTGTGTATGACCAAAGCACGTCAAGGGATCGCAAACCCACATCAATTGGATATTTCCTGTTATCCGGTTTAAATGATCACACAGGAGCAAGAGAGAACCTGATAATTTAAGATGAATAAAACCAGCTCCAATTGATGGTGTGTGAACACTTTTTGTAGGAATTTGAAAATGTCCAACGCTGGTTCTCTAAGATGTATTGTAGTGTCAATGAATGTAAAGACACTGTGGCAGAGTGCAGTGCCACTGAATGAACAGGCTGGATGCAGGACAGACAGAACAACTCCCAGAAACCACCTCCAGTTTTGGGGCCATGGCAGGATGCACTGGCAAGTGTATTCTTAATACTTCAGATGGATGCACAGTTTTGATATGGGAGGACACCAGAGTACTCAGAGTTAGACGTGATGTGACAGCGCTGACCCACTGGGTCACCGAGCCGCCCAGGTTCATAACTTTCCAGCTAAAGTCAAGACTTCTCTCTATATTTCAAGCTGATTTGAGAACTGCTGTCAATGTGAAGTCCTCAATAAACCACTGGAATAACACCAGTTTTACATGTATTCTAAAATACTGAGGAGAGAGATGAGAGTTACCTACACCAACTCTGATGAAAGTTCACAGCCATTGTGGGAAAAACATTTTATCTCCAACAGTCTCTAACACTCTTACAGTATTTAAATATACTTCAACACGTCAGCAGTATCAGACGCTGGCAGTCTCAGGATGAATGAATCAGGATTTTCCCTCAGCAGTTCATTCCTAAATTCTCTCCGAGTCCTCACTGAAAACTTTCAATGACCTCTTTACGACTTAACATACTATTATCTCACTTGGGCTGCAGGAATTATCATCTGTGCTTGCTCTGCTCTGCTGTAAGTGGCCATGTGTGCAAATGCTTACTAAAGCAAGTCTGCATTTCTGCTCTCGTGCATTAAGCCTAATGTAGTCTAGTGGGTATGCTTGTTGAAAAAAATAAAAATAAATGTGCGCAGAGTAAAGCAACAATGTCAGATCACTGCACAAACCATTTTTATGATGCGGTGGAAAAAAATCAAAACACAAGACAAAGTAGAGCACTTAGGGCTGTTTAATAATGCATCCCACCCAAAATTCTTTACTTCAACGGAGAGCAAAGTGGTCGACAGAGGTCCTGAAAGCTGATCTCAACACACACTGTCTGGGTGGAAACGCTCAGCAGCCTCAACAACACAGCTCCTTTTGTCTCTTTCCAATGTAACTGAGAGTCTGCGTCTTTCTTTGAACAATAAGCACAAAACTGGCTGTACACAAAATAATCACTGCCTGTAGTCTAAATAGTTATCTGGGTCAAAATTCTCATCTGCATACCATGCCAAACAGCTCTAATGAACGCCTGCCAAACTGTCATTTGTGCACAGTGAAAATGAATGAGGGAAATAATTAAAGGCATAAATGTCCAAACCCACTAAATACATCAGTTTACTGGAGAAAATACAAGTTACTACAACATCATTTCATTGCACTACAACTTCACAGTTACATTTTAATGTGTGTATATACTGTATATATATATACAATCCTGACTCGTAAAATGGCAATAAAGCTTAATGGTGATGATGGTGTTAGTGACTATGAAATTGCTGTTAAAAAAAATTTATCTAAAATAGTCAAATGTTTTCTTGAAACGTGTTTACATACTCCAGCCGAAAGTTGACATCTCGCTATAGTTTTCTAATTCAGACAAAAAAAACGGTTCAGCCAAACACCAAGGAGGGAAGTGTACACGTCCCAGTATTCTGGTGTGGGTTAATGCACATGTTCACGCTGATCTAAGATGCAGTCTGAGGGCCCCGGTGTCCAAGAGCCCAGAACTCGCCACAATGTTTTTGATCATTCATATTTAGGAGATGGACTTGTTTAAATAGTTCTGTGGCTGAAGACGCTATGAGGGAGCACCCGTTAACTGTAATGTTACTGTAAAAATCCGCTGCAGTTATACCCAATTTCTAATTTAGGGAATAATTTATCTCAAAACTAGCAACTAAGAAAGCCTGTGTCTGTGCCAGAAAACACATAAAACAAAAGTGAAAAAACTTTCAGAGCGTTTGTTTTTGAGGAATATACAAGCAAATGTCTCATTCAAAGGGACCAGCTGGTTTTAGACAGTTTGGATGCCATCCTCTTTTAAACCAAAGCAATATAAAACAAAGAACGTCTTTCACCATTTTCCAACCAAGAGCAGCCACAAAAGTTGGAGTTCAGTTCATTTTTTTTCCCACCTAAAGACCAGTGAAGACGGTGTAAGTAACTGGATACCTGTTTTTGATGCTGCAGGTGCTGATCGGGTGACGGCAGAGGGATTATGGGCACCGGATCCGGGACGTCCCCTGGAGTTTGTGGTAAACACATTCTGTCGTCTCGATCTGACTCCCCCTCCACCTGCTCCGTTATCACTCCCAGCTCTGGGATGCCCTCCAACTTCTCAAACTGGAACAGATGATACAGCCATGAAAAGCTGTGTTTCAAATTATGCACTCATTTTTTTTTTTTCTTCCTGTACCAACACATTCTGTTCCAGGCTCACAGTCGCTGAGACTATCCCAGCATGCAATGGGTAAAAGGCAGAGAAATACCCTGGATGAGTTTCCAGTTTTATACCAGTCCATCACAGAACTAGTCCGTTTGAATCGGGCCATTCTCTCGTTTTATAAAACTAAGAGGCATCATTCAAATTCTCTGCTTCTAAATATGAGTCTGCTGAAGCACTTTCACTTTTAAAAATAAACTTGACTTGAGAAAATGTTCTGCTGGGATTCAGTCAAGTCAAGGACGTGTGGTGAATATCCAGAAAGGTACACGTGAACTCCTCACTGCTGCATCACCTGCAGACACAGAAAGGTTTCCTGACAAGATACTGCATGAATAAACCGATGAGTCAGGACTGAACCAAGAACTATTACATTCAGTTGAAACTCAAGATAAAATAAAAGTCTGTGGCATCACAACACATCTTGATAATCTCTGTGTGTGATTAATTACGATTAATATTACATAACAAAGCAAACTGATTTATGTTGTATGACAACCATGAAAGTGGTTTGTTCAGAATAAACAGGAGGAACTGGGTGGGCAGTGTGAGCAGTGATATCCAGCACAGCTGAGAAAAGATCAGTAATAACAGAAACACAATGTCCATCCGCAGAGAAATCACCACAGGCCAAACTGCTCTGTGATCTCTGGGGAGGTGTGAAAAAAAAGAAGCAAAAAATCCAGCAAAACATGAATCTCACAAATTACAAGTTTAATCAACCAGAAGAAGACAACACAAAAAAAAAAAGTGGCGCATCGACGGCCGGATCAACAAGCCGAAAACAGATGGAGTTGCTCAATCAGCCGGGCAACGAGTTGACCAGACTATCAATCAGTACCTGCAGCGGTACCTGCATCCTGGTGGGAAGTACAAGATTGGAAGTGATTCAGGATGAGTTATCTGTTTCCATTTTCACCATCTCATCCATAATGATCGATTCAGACTTTAACCTGACGCGCTCTGGTGCTTCCCGGGCGAAAGAGCTGTAACGTACCAGGTACTGCGTTTGTAACATCATAACCTTAATTTAGACTCAGCTGTTTTTTTAGTTTATTAGGTGCACCTAGTTGAAACTAATGCAGTGTAACACAAAAGTGCTGCAAGAAGTGCTGCTGTTATTTCGCCTACCCTCACTAATATAACTAGGGTGGACAAAATAATAGAAACACAAGTCAGTACAATTCAACATCACAAACTGCAGCCTCTAAAATGTTCATTGTGTTAAATCATCACCTTTCTAAAACCATTTCAACAAAAACTGAACATTACGACTTTGACAAAAGGAGGATTTAATGCAGGACTGTTGTATTGGACTGCATTAGTTTTAGCTAGGTGTTCCTAATAAACTGGTAACTGAATGTGTCCATGTACTGAAGGTTATTTTGATATTTGGCACCATATCTACGGGCTAAAGTGCAATTCTTCAACAAAAGAACCAAAGAGACAGAAATTACAACCTGGAAGTTTATTTACCATTCAATACTGGGAGGACCCAATAATCAACATCCATCCACAGAGACACTTCTGAGAGATGCATATCTGTGTATCTTAATGGGTGATTCAACATGAAACGCAATTGAAGTTAGCGTGTAACATTTTTCTGTGTTCAGACTCATTTTGCTCCTGATCCTATGCACCTGTCGATAAGACTCTCTGAAGAAACTTGTGCTCAATTAAATAATCCGTTGGTGGACTGTTTCATTTGCTTTTTCAGAGCTGCTCTTGTTCAGCCATCATCCATTTCAATTTATTAAAACCTCTGACTCACCTCTGGGTGCGCCGTCTCCTCTCCGGAGTCGTCCTTGCGGCTGAGCCTCCAGTGCATAAGGATCCACCTGAGCTTCATGTAGAAGATGATGGTGTTGCGTCTGAACAGGCGAACCTCTTGTTGCAGCATGGCCCTCTCCTGAGTCCAGGGCACCTCATGACTCTGAAGCCCCTGCAGCTCCAGACCTCCACGCTGGGCCTCCAGACGCAAAAGCTCATCTTCCTGTTGTGAAACAGATCGGGAAGGAAACTGAGAAACATACTGGACAAAAGTTTTAATTAAAAACAAATTCAAATACTTTTTAATGATGCTTTCGTCATGAAGGTCACATCAGATAAGTGACATGTGAATAATGTATCCTGTCATTTCCATAATTTTGGATATTTTTGTATATGTGTTGTATAAAGGATTATTGGATTCAGAGTAGCTAATACTTATCATTACCTGAAAATAACTATATTCTATAATAAAAATGTAACTTTTATTCAAAGTTGTTACAAAACTGTATGATGTCAGTTGTGTTGTATATGATTATTTTCATTATTGATTAATCACTAGTCATCATTAAATGTCAGAAAACAGTAAAAAATGCTCAAGTTGACATATTCAAATTACTTGATTTGTCCGACCAACCGTCCAAAGCTCAAACACGTTTGGTTTAATATCAGAAGGTTGAGAAAAATAATAAATTTTGTTTTATATTTTAATTTGAGAAGCAGGAATCTGAGAATATTTGGCATTTTATCTAAAAAAAAAAAAAAAAAGCTATCAAAGTTGTTGTGGATCTTGTATGCAGTCTGATTGATTGACTAATTGTTTCAGCCCAAAATGATGCTGTAGATTTTGTGTGCTTAACATGACAGATATTATTTTTTAAACAGAGACTCATACTTGCTTTTTGTTTTTTTAATTTAAAAGATCACTTTGAAAATTAAATGTCACATTTATCATATTTTAAATCCCATATTTGCATGAATGATGTCAGGTTGTCATGCTGCAAGAACAAAACAGCGGTTTTATGGAAATTGCATGTGTCAGATTGAAGACAGTGTAATTTAAATTTCAGTGTAAAGCAAATTACAGGTATGAATATCAAATCTGAAATCCAAAACTTTCTTCCCTCCCAAGCGGTGGACTTAATTAAAAGTATGTTCCAACTTTAGCATTAAGATAGCAGAGCCAGTGAAGTGTGATACTGCTGGGCTTATGCTCATGTTCATAATCTAAAGAAACTCAAACGTGGCGTGACTGACTGACTGCTTTAATTGTACCTGAGGCAGAGACACGACGGCCTCCCGCTCCTCCGTCGCTGCTCTCAGCCTTCGCTCGTGATCCAGACGAAACTGGATGTCAGAAGCAGGCGTGTCCCGGAGCTGAACCCACAACACCACAGTCCACAGTTACTTCACCAGCACTTAGGATAAGTTACATCACATATTGATATCTCACTACACCACAAACAGGGATTTGAGTATGAGACGATTATACTTGATTATATTTGCTCTCTTCATTTTCCGCAGCTAAACAAAAATTTCACAGAGCAGGACTAAAAAAAACCTCAAATGAGATCTGACCCTTCTACAACATCTCAGGAAATAATTATAATTTAATGCTGCACATTTCAGGCTGGACTAAGCATTTCTTCATAGAGCAACATCTAAGTCTTAAACGAATAGTTTGACATTTTGGGAAATATGCTCGTCTACTGTCTTTCAGCTTGCTAGCTTAGCTTAGCATAGAGACTGGAAACAGAGGGGAACAGCTCTATCTAAAGGTCCGGCTACGTGTACGTCTAAAATTGACTAATTGAAATGTCATATCTTGTTCATTTAAGTTGGATTTTGTTACCTTAGGACAGAGCTAAGATAGCTGTTTTCCAGTCTTTATGCTAAGCTAAGCTAATTGTCTTCCTGGGTCCAGCTTCATATTTACCATACACAGAGAATTGTATCGATCTTTTTCATCTAGCTCTCAACAAGAGAGCGTATAAGCAAGTTTCCCAAAATGTAGAACTATTTCTTTAAGTCATCTGCCACCTTCTCTAAATTAAGACAATACACTGTATGTGGAGACAATGATTTTACTTTACTGGAACTGCTTTACCATACTTTACTGTAAATTTGCCTCACCTAAAAAATGGTTTATATAATGAAAATAAAAGTTGCTAAACATTAATAATATCGCTATTAGTCATCTTGTATCAGGTGTTATCTCCAAAAATGCTTTTAATTAACAGAAAATCTTATATGCAAAAATAACTGAAGTAGGAACTTAAGGAATGTCAGGTTTGATCGTTTTTACTACAGGTGAAAAAATGCTCAGAGGGAAATGAGATGCTGATGTTTATGGTATTGAATGTAATGATACTTCTTCAGTCGTCAACTTGTTTTGAAGACATCCCTGGGGCGTCTTTCTTTCCTAACAAAAAAAAAAAAAAAAAAAAAAAAAAAAAACAACCAGCATGCAGACTCACAATTTGAAAACTGCAGCAGTTTATAATACGATTTCTTTCCTCTATCCTGTGCTGGGCTGTTCCTGCACTCTCCAACAGTAAGTTGAGCTGTGCAGTGTGTACTGACCCTGGATCACCTCCCTGTCAGCCCAATGTCAAATGCAAATCGCACAGGCCTACAGTGCAGCGCTAATCCTGCCATATCCAAGCTGCTTTGCCCATTCATTAATTTCACCTCACAGATTACACTGCGGCAGAAAGCACGGGGACAAAAAAAGGAATCCACACGAATGTGCCATAACTGTAACTGTAATAGTTATGTGTCACATCGCCGCTGCCAGCGCCCTGCATTACATAACAGCGGGCAATTTCTCTCTGAAAACAAGCATGAGGCAGCGATTATGAATCACAGTGTCCTGCGATTACACAGCCGGTTTATTAAACAGCCGAGTCACTGAAGGGTTTAACCGACCTGAAGCAATGTAACCACTCGCCTCTTTCATTTTCTGTGTGTGTGTGTGTGTGTGTGGATGTGCGTGTGTAATATGAGCTGTAACACTTGTTTGAGGGCTGCACTTTTACGTGTGTTTAATTTGCTGATTCAGGGCATCACTACAGAGTCCACCGTGTGCAGACGCAGCTGTGAGACACTGAGTGCATTAGAGCTGCAACGGTTAGCCGATTAATCTGCAATTTAGCAAATAATCATTAGTCATTTCTTATGCAGAAAGTCCAATATGTCCATCTGACATCACCTTGAAATCATGACAGGCATTTATTTTAGTATTTTCTGGCATTTTATAGATAAAACAATTCATCTATTATTTGAAAAAAATTATTGGCAGATTAATGAATAAGGTAAATAATGATTAGTTGAAGCTAAAGTGCATAAATAATCCTCACAAGTCATGTCCATATAATGTAGCTGTGCATGCCTGGTGTGGTGTCTCACTGGTACAGAGGGAAACAAACTGTCTACCAGCAGATCAGTTTTTGAGAACGCAACACACGACTGACAAATTTGGCACGACGAATGAGCTAAAGTTTCTAAATTGGTACAAAACAGGTTAACCCTCTTAACTCTGAAGCGCTATGCAAACTACTTTGTTCTTCAAAGAAGTAAATCAATCACAAAATGTCCAGGGGAACATGGAACAAATTATAAAAAGCAAGAAGAGAATGCTAAATCAAAGTTGGAAATAAACATCAGTGACTGTGGGAGTGGATATTTAGTGTGAAGGTAGAGCGAGTGGATGAAGTGAAATCGTGTTCAGCATCAAAAAGTGACTGTGGCTGGAGTGTCACTAGACATGCTGGACTGAGCGGCCTTCTGATATTAACAAACCCCTTTGAGACTGTGTGATAATTCATTCCCCTATAATTCATAATGAGACAAATTTGTATGAAAAATACTCAAAAACACATAAAGGGCTTTTTGGTTCAGACGATCAACATTTTCAGAGTTAAGTTTAAAAAGCATACATGCAGTAGAGAGATTTGTAAGTATTTCTCTTTTATCAGTCTTCTTCAGTAAATAATTTGTAAAGTCAAACTTATCACATTTGACCTATACCCATAATTGCTTTGCTATTGAGCAGTAATTATTGCCTCATTGGTTGCCAATTGACAAACAAACACTCCAAAAATAAACCCCAGAACACTAATTCTTTGTAGGGACTAGCAGGGACGCACTGCATCGGTTATCGGCCAGATGTGACTGGTCCACATTAAATACAGCAACGTCATTATAAAATTCAGCCTTTCTGCTTCTATCGGTTACATTCGGTCCCTCACCGTGGTCAACCGATTTTTAGCACCAAAGCAATCTCTGGTCTCATGTTACCTTAGATAAATATGACCCTGAGGAGATCCACACAAGTTAACAGATTTCAAATTTCAACTGCAGATACCAAGAGCTGAGGTACTGTAATCGATACTGGAAGAGGGAAAGTCAGATCCAAGTGCATCCCAGTTGATCAGTGCATGCATCAGTGTGTTGAAAATTACATGCTTCAGTTAGTTTTGGTGTTGATTTTCAGAGTGTCCATTGAACCTTGAATTTTTGTTGCTCTACAGTTGAGAATGTGATAAGATTTTGGTTTGAGGAAGGAATTGTAAGAAAATAGCGTCCAGATTAATGCTTTAGACTCAGACACAGAAGGCCCATGTATGGGGCTCACAGTGGAGCCAGTGTTAACTCAGTCCCACAGGTGGAAGGGGAGATGGAGGAGGGAGGAGGCACTGACCTCTGCTCTTAAAGCCAGGGGCCTGTGGTACCTAGTGAGTCCCGTGGCTCCCCTGCTCTGGGCCTGGCCCCCACCCTGGCTCTGGCTCTGGGGCTCCACGCCTCGCTCCTGTCCTAGACGCCACTCCAGCTCATCCCTCTGACCGGACTGTGAGTGACGTGGGGTGGGAAAGGGGAACGAAAGGGGTGGGGGGGTGGGGCGAGTGTGGATGATGGGTGTGAAGGATTAAGGGGATGGGTGACGGGGTGCAGGATACAGGGGTGCAGGTAGTAGTGGTGGGTGGTTGTATTCGGGGGGAGATGTGTGAGGTGGATTGTGGACAAAACAGACAAAAGACAACAAACGGGGTGAGGGGGCGAGGAAAGAAAGTGGGCGGGGAAAACAAATAAAAAATAAAACAGAAAATGGGTAAAGAATATAAGCAGAGCGGGGAAAATTAACTAACAGACTACACGGTGTGGAGAAGAACAAACGGACTAGAGTACGAAGAAAAGCGCAAAGAGAAAGACCAACTTAAAGATGACGGCGTATGAGAGAGATGAGAAGAGAACGAGAATGAGGATGAACAAAATCATGGGCTGAAACATCTGGCGGGAACACAAAGAGGAACAAAGAGAGGGAATCGGGGGGGAAAAGAATGCAAAACACTTGTTATGAAGCGCATGCAATGAGGGATACATGAGTCCAAACCAACAGCTGAGAGATACCACGGCAAACTGCAGAGCGAGAGCTAGCACGCTAAAGGTTTTCAACACATGCCCGTGCACAGCCGTGTGTGTTGTAGAAGCAGTTAACTAAAGAAAGTTGAATCTTGAGCCTGTATGATGCACATTGTTTTTTTTTTTCAAACATTTACAGCATTTAAAAAACACTGGAGGCATTTGAGGCTTCAGCCGAGCTTTAAGCTAGCGCCATGCTAGCTGCTCCCCTTTGCAGCAGTGCCCACATTTCTTCCTAGCTAGCAGCAACTTAATACTATCATGTCATCAAAAAGTAAGGTAAAGTCATGTCAAAAAGTATGTATAAAAGTGTTAAGCATTCACCAAAGGAAAAAAAATTGAGATGTTTTCCAATTTTGACTTCTGTATCTTATAATTCTGAGAAACTTTTATCTCATGTTTGACACTTTTATCTCACAATTATCTTGTATAAAGATCTCATAATTACAAGATCTGTATTTTTGAATTTTACCTGATGGTCTGAAGCTCTGAGGACCAAAACATTATTATTAAACTGAGTAAAAAATATCGGCAACTTGCAGAATTCTTTGGTTGAATTCAAGAGCAGAAGAGAGTTTTTTGTCTTTATTAAGAGATATGAAAGAAAATACTTGAAAATATGTTATTACGAGACAGAAATTGTTATTACAAGATAAGCATCTCACAATTGTGAGACTGACTATCTTAGCTAGTATTTAACACTTTCATGTCATACTTATCTCACACAAATCTCATAATCACAAAAATTGTATCTTTGAATTTTATCGTGTACAAGAAACTTACGAGATTTAAATCAGATCTCGTTATAAGTTCAACATGACAATGAGATAGTTTCTCATAATTACATGATACTAAGTTTGGAAGCACTAATTGCAAGAAAGTTTCCAATTCTTTATGAGATAATCATACAACAAAAATCTTATTATTATTGGACACAAATCCTTTAAATTACAAGATAAACAGATCGAGATGAGATAGTTTCTCATAATTACAAGATGCTAGGACATAATTATGAGATACAGAAGTCATCATTGCATGAAAACGTCTAAAATTCTTTATTAACAAAATGAAAAATATTGTAATTTCACGGGAGTTCTCGTTATCACAAGATACACAGCTACAAGATGAGAAATTATAACTACAAGGTACTGGAATTTTTTAGAGATAGAAGATAATTTGCACATTAAGATCTTGTAATAAAGAGACACAGGTTTCGTAATTACAAAAAAAAAAAAAAAAAAACCCAAAACATATCAAATCTATGATTACTATAATTGTGAGAGGGCATAATTATGAGATACGGAAAATATCTTCAATTTTTAATTACATAATTTCAGATAAAAATCTTACAAGATCCAAATCTTGTTATTACAAGATAAAGATCTTAGAATTGCAAGATGCTGGAAGAGATTCAGAAATCATAATTACGAGAGAACATCTCTCATTTTTTCTCTTGTGAATGCGCTTCCATTCACACAGTATCTGCCTTTTTATTGTATTTACTCCTCCTGCATATCCTACTCTTTGCTGCTGCAGTGTGGCCTTTTATATTATACACTTTACAACTGTGTTCAATTTCTTTCCTCAACAACTCTCAATGGATGGAGGCCTTATTGCTTTAAACAGGACTGAGTTGTTAGTGCAGTGGTTAGCTTTGACTAACCACCCAGCGTCACCCAGACTAACCAGTGAGTCCTACAGGCAGAGGAGCAAAGCGGAAACAAGTCATTGGATAGAATGAGTATGGAGGCAGCTTCAGTCTATTATCTCTACAAAGCAGACTGGGTTCTTGAAGTGAGAAATGTTTGAAGAGCTGTTTGTTTTATTCCATATGACATTCTGGCTGATTAGAAAAGACATCCAAGATGTCTGCCTGATCATGCAGCACAGAGATAATGGACCTGCATTGGAAGAGTACACAGTATGTTGACATGTTGACTTATACTAAGCTGCAATAAAACAAGGACAGAAAGCAGGATGCCAGCCAGTTAAGTTCTTCCACAGGCAACTCACACAGCGCCATGCAACTCTGGTTTAGACTCTTCTTTTGTAGAACAGAGGTTATTTTAGTCAGTGCTCACATTTTTATGGCTCGTTTCCTTGGCAACACTGTGGAGTAACCAATCCCACGTGTGTCTGTGTGTGTGTGTGTGTGTGTGTGTGTGTGTGTGTGTGCAATGATATGTTGTGCAAACATAACAGCTACACCATTTATGTGTCATAATGAGTCATATAAGTGATAGCATGGTGTAGCTCAGCTGTAAAGGGAAAAATATTTACTCCGTCATGCAACAATTCACTGTGTCAAGAAAAAATTTGAATCAAGCCAAATGGAAGAAACTGCCATGACTCCTTTAGCACTTACTCCATTCATACCAAGCACCCTTTCAAGCACCCTCCTAAGCACCCTTTCAGGCACCCTCCCCTGGCCCTGGCTGACTGGAAGCAGGGCAGCTGCAGACAGTGAGTGCAAGGAGAAGGAGGCAGGCAGGCAGGGCTGCTGGCTATGAGGATGTGCATGGAGATGCAGATGTGAATGTGGCAGCAGCAGGAAGCAATGGCAGTGGCGGTGGTTCAGGGGAGGGGTGGCGGTGGTGCCAGTGTGGTAGAGCTGGGTGGCTCATGGTGGAGCGGGGGGGGCCTGATATGTCACCCTGTGCTGGCACTGGACGTCTGGGGGGGAACTATGGAATCTCTCAAACCAAATTTCCAGTTGAGGCTTTAAAGGATAGGTTCTGATTTTTTCATGTCAATCTAACCTCTCGCAAGCTTCCCTATTACTGGGTGACCAGTCCAACACTGGGCGAATTCTGCATCACAATGGTAGGAACAGTTGAGGAACAGTGACAGCGTTGTGACACTTCATAGTCGTTTTCATGGTCTGTATTGATACTGAAAACCAAGATCAGAGTCTTGTGTTATCATTTGACTGGTCTACCGCCGCAGTCAAAATCCTCTCCTGCTGTAAGACAACTCTACTGTCAGAGATGATGGACGAAATCTACAGTAGTCACTCTGTGTAAAAATATAGTTTAGCCAAAGCTAATATGAGGCTTCAACAGTCTGAGTTAGCCGAATCGTGCCTGGTAGGACGTATCCCTCCACCACGGCTCAGCAAAGAAACAGTATCCTGGGAAAAACACACAGGGAATTTTATACAAAAAAACCCACTGAAGCATCTTATTTAGCCTCATATACAAATTTGCAGGATCAAAATCGATGCAGCAGAACCAGAGAAACCTGATGACTACATCACCCAAAATGCACCTTGACTACAGTTCGGTCAGAGATTCAGGTGTTATGCTAGTGACAGCTAATGCAGCCTTGAGCTGCTAGCCTCAAGTGGAGATGAGGAGTGGTCTACAGAGGTCTGGTAACTCACTTACAACTTCTTTCTAATCCAGACCCTCAGATTTTTTTTTCTATTTTCAAACTTCTACTCTCTCTGGAGCCACAAGAGGCTTTTTTCACGTGTGTAGTACTTTTCCCCAAGATCTATCAACAGACTTTGATGTGTAAAATCTGCGTACTTCCTCTTTAAGAGCACATTTTTGCATAGAACCGTGACGGCTGATTTTGTCCCTCATTTCTTACAGTGGAGTTGCACTAGATCAAGTATGGAGATGAGGAAAGATTACAGTGACCCATAACTCTCTCAACATACATATTGCATTAAGACAGACTTGAAAAAAACCCCGAACCTATCCTTTAAGCCAAGTTAATGAGATTCCCACTGACAGGCGGCGTAGCTGTGGATGGCGTGTGTGCGCTCTACAGACGTACAGCGCTGCCACTTTCTTTAATTAGAGCCGATTTTTTTTGCACACAGTGCTGACTTAGGATCTCATTTAGTTTATTTTGGCCTTAAATGGTCGACTAATGACTGCACACTTAGGGCCATTTAAATCAAACCTAAATGAATTCTCACATTTACAAATACACCAGTAGGTTTACTCATGGCTATCTCTATATCTGAATCATGTCAACTACTTAACATAATTTTGCAAACAATTTCACTTTGCCAACTGCTGCTATAAAGCAATGAAGCCATCTGGTATGATGATTTTCTTGTCTTCGGTCTTTCTTTCCTGCAGCATGATATCGTCTGGACACCCAGGTGGGATGATTTTGAGGTTGAATGTTAATCAGTGTTGTTATGCAGGATTTTTCAAGAACATTCTGTTTGTAATGGCCATAAGAAAAACTAAAGTATTGACTCTCTCCTCCATCATGGCTAACTGGCTAACAGGCCTTCTCTATTTTTCTGATATTTAAAAAAACATCTAAATGTACTAAGGGATGTGAGGTCACAGGAAGTCTGATCACTGAACTTACCTGGAAGTCCGTCACCAGGTCTCTTCCAAAGGTGCCAATGGGAGAGTCTCGGGACATGGAGGTGACTGTGGACAGGAAGCTGCTGGACTCTGTGAGGTTTGGCATGGGTGATAGATCATCTGTCCTTTCTCTCAGCCCCTCCCCTACATGATCCAACTTCTCCATGAAGATGTGGAGCTCAGTGCGGAAGGCCTTCATGCGAGTGTTGATGGTGTCCAGGACCTGGGTGTCTGGTTTGGATCCGGACACCGCCCCTCCATCCAAGCTCTCTCCTGTCGTCACCAGCAGCCTGCCCTCAAAGATCAAACTGTCAGTGTCCGTGATCAGTCGGTCAACTGTCTTCCCGAGCCTTTCGGCCTCTCGCTTCACATTGCTGAATGACTCCCGCTCTTCCCTCCTGCGATTGGCCAGTTCGATGGCGCTGAGCTCGCTGCCATCTGATGGTTTGATGCTTCCGAACCCTGAGGTGGTTGTTGTTTTCTCAAACATGTCTTCAGAGTCACTCTCTCCTCCGATAGGGCCCTCTCTCTTGGGATGAAGAAGAAGAAGTCGCCCTGCCTCCTCGTCCTCAGCGGCTTCTCGCCGGCCTGCGTCACTCTCTGCGTCACTGTCTCGAGGGCTGCCGGTGCGCAGGCCGAGGTGTGCGGCCAGGTCGCAGCGCTGGACGTTTGACATGAGGACACGGTTCTCGTACTGCAGCTTCATCACCTTTCCACTCAGCTCGTTGATCTGCATCCTGGCTGACTTAAGCTCCTCCATCATCATCCCGGTACTGGAGCCATTTCCATTCCCTCCATTACCAGGTTTGAACAGCCCTCCTTCACTACCTTCCTCGCCGACTGGCCCAGAGCTGCTGCTTGGGCCGAATTTGAAGCGATTGAGTTCAGATGTCAGCTGCCTGTTGTGGTCTTCGATCTCTGAGATGGAGCGGCGCAACAGCTCAGCCTCCTCCTCCACAAACTGGAGATGGCGACGTAGCTCACTGGCCGACTCCAGCGCATCACCACCATACGGCGACGAGGGCATGCTGGAGAAGGGTTCGCGCCCGAAGCAGTCCCTTTCGTACTGACACCGGATGTCTTCGTTTTCTGCCCTCAGGCTGCGGTTCTCCACCTCCAGCTCCACAATCTTCCTGCCCAGGATGTTAGCCTCCTCCTCCACCAGCTTCAGCCGTAATCGCAGCTCAGCCTCTCGAGTGGTGTGAGGGCCTCCGCCAGAGCATTCAGCCAGAGGAAGAGGACTGTCCACGTCCCCGTAAATGGATTTGTACTTTTGCAGCTCCTGCTCCAGTTCATCCTTCTCCCGGCCCAGCTTTGCCATCTTTTTCCTCATCAGGCCAGACTCCTCTTTGGAGAACTGGAGCTGGCACCTGAGGTCTGCACTGTCCTCCTAGTATGAGAATGACACAATAAAATCTTTAAACCTGCTGTAAATGCCACTGGGGGGCAGCGGAAAGAAGTTGTGAACACGACACTGACATACACCTGGCAGTTATGGAGCAACACTGGGAGGCTGGGAACCGGATGAATTGAAGTCCAATATTCACTCTGTTTAAGCTTTTTGGTTTCTACCAACTCCTGAAGGAAATACCTGGCTTCTCTTTGTTCACCAGCTCCTCTCTCACTGTGTGTGTTTGCTGTTTGGTGCTGGGCAGGTGGTGCACAGTGGATTTTTAACTGAAAAAAGGTGCCTGCTGCAGCAAAAAATGGTGCTATGAGAGCAGAGAGTGAATCAACAAAGTAAAGCTGCAGGCCAGATCACTAAACACTGAGCTGAAACCAAGTGTAGCTGCAGATTTGGATGATAATTCTCTGTAGGTTCATCACTCCCTGCGACCCCTTTCACACTGCCACATTTTCTACAAATCATACTGTCTCTCAATACTTTGACTTCCCCAGCCTATCTGTGGCTCTCAACCTCAAGCCCTTTTATTCTTAGTGAAGACAAAGTCTTTAACAGGTCACAGACATATAGTTAAAACAGGAGCAAGTGGTGCATTTCCTGGGGACTATTTTCAGCCGTGGATTAATGCACATTTGGTGCTCTAGTGAGCGTTTGTGACAGCAAACTGGTGTAAGTGGGTTTGAGTCAAGCGCCCATGTTGATTGTAATAAAGGAACACATCGGTCAGTGCAACAGTGTGTTTCAGTCCAGACTTATCCTTCAAAATATAATATTCTATGATACTGAAATTCAGAAAATAATATGTTCATAAATTCTTTACCTGACTTGAGGATTTCTTGTCTTTAAATGTCTCCCTGCTTCCTCGTCTCCTCAGAGCAGTCTGTGAAAGAGCAAAGAAGACAGATGTAAAACATGTAACTGAATACAAGCGCACGTATCGGTTCTCCTCCAACAATCGTTGCTGTTGCTGCATGACGGAGAGAGAAAATTAAAAACACCAACGGTACAACACAATGATTAAAGCAATAAAAGAGGATTTGTGAATCCAATAGTGAGGATCTCTGCAGTTTTAAGATGCTATTGATATTTCCATACATCATAAAGCCAGAGTTTATATAGGCATGTGCAATAACTGATAACCAGTAATAATAAAAATAATAATCAGTAATAATAACTTACAATAATGATGGCACCTCATAACAGCAATGCAGTGATGGCTTACATATATGTTACCAAAAGGCCAGAGGAACATTAATCTATGTGGATGTCTTACATAACATTTCCATCAGGTAGGAAGCATTTAGTCTAATACAAACAGAGCAGAGCACATGACATAATTACTGTCTGATTCCTGCACATAGTAATGGGAATAGCCCGTATCAAAAGGCCAACATCTGGCTATCATGTGAGTCTTATTTCTAGTGAGCGGAGTGGCGCAGTGAATGGACACTAGATGCGATGTAAAGCCTGCTCCATATTAGTTTCAGAGAAACTTCAGAGTACAGATGATGAGGATGTTCTGTCGTGTCTTTTGTCGTATGATGCAGCGGGGTGCTTTAGATCCCATTGAGAGCTCGGTGTGACAGACGTCTTATCCCGGCTCAGATTCAGTGACACATGGCGCTTCCACAGCGCTCTGAGGGAAAGCATCTGCCTGTCCACTGGGGAAATCTGTCCTGCAGCTAATACTACAGTCGGAATCGCACGCAAAGCCTGGATAAAACAGGGCCCTCTGCACGCCAGCTTAGTCTCATCCGCAAAATAAAATCATTCATTTTTATCAAGTCTGTTTCTTATAACATCAGCTGCAGCTTGTCCCAAGACAGGGACAAGATAGACAAGAAGTGAGAAAAAGGGAAGGAGGGAGGAAATGAAGAGAGGAGACAGGGAGAGAGAGAGAGGGAGAAGAAGAAGAAGAAATCCCCCTCTATAAAAGCAGAGTGCAGAGCTCCAGGAACAGATTGCTGCCCCGGCACAGTTATTTAAAAGGTACTGATGATAAGTTAAGCCACAGCCGAGCTCCTTTCTAGGAAGCATAATTTGATATTAATATTTCCGATCTCAGACTCACCATCATATTTCAATGTAGCCATACTTCAACCAGGACAATCCACCAATAACAACTTCACTAAGGCTGTGACAAATGATTATTTTAATTTAAAATAATAGTGAAAAATGCCTGGAACAATTTCCAAAAGTTCACAACCCAGAGATATTCAATTTCCAGTGAAAAAAATCAGCAAATTGTCACAATTGAGAATTTGAGATCCACTGAATCTTTGCTTCATGTAGTACAATTAATTGATGAATAAAACTCTTACAGGATTAATTATTTGACTAATTGTTTCAGCCCAAAACCCTCATTTGAAGTAGACTGCAGAATAATGACTTTTTAATACCTCTTTTATTTGAAAGTATTAGTAGTGTACTGTCACTGCTCCCCTCTGGAATGAAGCGTCACCTTTTTGAACTGCCCCAAAGTCACTTGGTGGTCAGGGTGGACAGTAGTCATACAAAGCACACAGATACTATAATAATATATATAATTATGCTGTAGTCACGGGAAGGTGAATTATGTTGCAGTGAACATCTCAGTCTCAACATTTAGGAGACTCAGGACTTGAGCGATGCAGCGGAATTGACATCCACTGGAAACACTCTTCTAAATCCTGACTCTGCGGCCGAGGAGCTGTCAGACTTACTGGACTGGACGGACTCGCAGATAAAATACTGGGACGAGAACAGTTTCCCCTTGGATGAGGCCAAGCCAAAAACATATATGGGGAAAAAAGGGGTAAGAGTCAAAAAGCCACTTCAGAACAAGATTTCCAAATACCCAAAAATTGGTATTGGTGAACGTATATTGAGGCATACTAAGGCTAAACTAAAATCCTGTAGAAAGGCAAATGCTCTGCTCTTTATCAAAATGAGAAAACGACACAGAGATATGTTCACTCACTCACTTCGAGCACTCACTGTGTGTATTTAGGGATGTTATTTCAGATACATGTTCGCATCATCAACAGTCTTGTTAGTCTTTGGGAATGAGGATCAAATGGTGCTTTATTACCACCATGGTGGGAGGACACTGTGGGATAATTAAGATGAAAGCTTCCAGCTCCAGTCAGGGAAGTTAGAGGGAGCAACACCTCTCTATTCAGCTGATGCTAATGCGGAGTGCATTAGCATCAGCTGAATAGAGAGGTGTTGCATTGTGTTGGAAGCTGCTGGTCAGCCATGGATCGGCTACTGCTCTCACTCTTGTGTATTTCAACATTCTTACATTAACACATTTAGCATTTCCATTTTATGAATGTGAATGAACTGTTTGTGGGTTTTAGTGTTTGCAAACCCGCCTGCCTCAAACTGCCACTTGAGAAACCAATAATGCATTCTGAATTGACTTGAAGTGAAGAGCAGAATATTTTTCATCACTGTTTCAGCTGCACAATGTGCCTCTTCTTTTTTTTTTTTTTTTACACTTTATTGTGTCAGTTAATGTGAGTGAAACATTATACATTTCTTGTTATTCAAACATTTTGACACAGACTTTTTGACCTTATGAGCGACAGTGTAGTTGTTAATGATCATGCTCTTGTATCTCCATGCTCTATATATCTATACTATCAGGTACCCATATACAAATACAAACATGCATACCTATGCACATACATACATACACAAATGCACCTACGCACATGTACACACCCTTGTACATATATACAGTACACACACACACACACAAACATACACACACACACACGCACACACACACGCACACACACACACACACACAAACATACACACACACACACCATATATACTATATATTATATATATATATATATAATGTGCCTCTTCTACTTCACTCTAATTTTTACTTGGTGTAAAGCAAACTCTTCACTGTACAAGCTGTTGTTGAACCAGCCAAAATAAGACCAGTAGACCAGCGTGAATCATTCATGGCCAGACGGCTGGAAAGTGTGAGGGTGAACCTGTTTTGCCCGGAGCAGGGACCGACTTTGACTCAGTCGCTGGCTCTGTGACAGGAAGTGAGCGCCTACTTAGAGACAGCACCAAAACAAGAACATAACGTAACTGTGGGCAGTGAGAGCTACAGAAAGAGATTCTGTCTCCAACTCTGTGTCCGTTTTCTGCAAATTCAACATCAGGCCCAACATCTTTTACCTTGGATTTTCTGTCTGTAGCACTGAATCATGTTTACTGACATACTTCTGAGTTTCATGATCAGTGTTTTCTACATGTTTTTGAAGACAACACTGGATTTCTGACACAAGGAAACTTCTCTGTCTTCCCTCTTGTTGCCTTCACAGTGTTTGAAGTGTCTGTGTCAGATCCAAACTCAACCTCTGCACTCAAACACATCGCTCTGCTTTGAGCTGAATGAAGAGGTTAATAGTACATGGAGTCTTTTTGAGCAACCCTTGCCTGGTAGCTATTACATGATGTGTTTGACATGTTGTTTAATGTAGTTACAGCACAAACAGACTGATATTCCCTTCAAGGTAAAGTAAACAGCTTTGTTTTCCCCATATTTAACCTGTCAAATTTTCAATGTTCAAGATAGTTACATGTCAAAATGACTGAGAGTGATGACACATTGCTGTTGTTTCCCTTATGCAAACTGCACCTCTGCTCATCCTTTCCCATAATCCCTCCATCTCTAACCCACCTCAACCTCTCCAAGCACACAATTCATTGCTCACTCTCAGACATGTGAATCCACACATGTCCCGGCTCGATCCCAACCCCCCCTCCCCTCCAGTCCAGTATCTCCAACACCAGTCGAGGTTTAATTCCCAGCCCTGGTGACAGAGCTAATCTCCCCGGGGAGACAGCGGATTAGACGACATCTTGTGCAAAGCTCCTCTGAACCCCAGACCGCCACAACCTGGGATCCCTGTTGACTGTGTACAGAAGTCAGGCTGAGGATCAGACAGACAACAACAACAGTGTGATCAGAGAGTAAAGGAATTGAAGGAACACTGATCAAATAGTTTGCCTGAGCCATTAACCTACAAATACAACTACACTTAAAGACTTCCGTTTGACGGCAGCATGAGCCTGCGACCAGTAATAGATATCTTCATTATAAGCTGTTACATTTTCAGTTGCTGAAAGGCGGATCATATTTTTTCATTGTCCCTACATGGAGTTGCTGCTGAATGTAAACGTGAACAAGTGAGAGAAGTGAGGAAGCCACTTATGCACCCACAATCGCAATCCTAATCGCTCTGTAGAGGATCAATAAGATTAACGTTTAACAAAGCCAGGTCACACAAACGGTGCAACAGGAGATGCAGAAGTGCGACACAGAGGTCATAACTGCGGGTCACAGCTTTTATCCCTGTAGCAGATGGTGATCTCCAAACTGAAGCATCTTCAAGCTTAACACTTAAACCTCAGCCTACCTGCTCTCAGACATCGTCCTTTGACACCTGCTGCATAGTGAGATACCAACAGTACGTGTGTGTGTGTGTGTGTGTGTGTGTGTCAAGGCTATTGTTATTTCTTCCCTCTTTTTTTCCACAACATTGTTGAAAAGATCAAAACTGATGCTGCAGGATCAGAGAAATCTCCTTTTTTTAATTCCACACATTTCCTCTTCCTTGTCAAAATCTGGCACCTACATCACCCACAATGCAACTCAACCGTCCATAGTTCTAGTTGGAGATTCGGGTGTGTTATGCCATACAACTTTTTACACATGTGCAGTTGTACTCCCCGAGACCTGTTAACAGACGAAGGAGTTCCTCTTCAAGATTTTTTAAATATGCTTGTATTTAATATTATAATAAAACACTGATTAACTGTTTTGCATTACATCAAAATGTGAAAATAAAATTTGTTTGTATCCTC